GTCTCATGGTAAGACCTAGACCCGGGACCGATTTACTTTTTCGTTTTGAGGTCCCCAGAGGCCAAAAACACCATCCGTTCAAATTCATATATATATATATATATTTATATATGTGTCCGTTAGCGCGATAACTCGAGCAAAATTGATCCGATTTTGATGATATTTGGTACAAACGTGTAAACCTACATTTATTCGAACGAGTTCGCGAACCAGCATAATCGGACTATGGGATCAGGGGTTTATGGGGGGTTTTATGGGGGTAAAAATGGGTTTTTCTCATTTTTGACCCTAAAAACTTTAAATTTCTAAATTTCTCTCTAGACCATTTTGAAGAGCTTAAAAAAACAAATAATTTAGTATATTGAAGTGTTTTTAAATGTTCATTGACTATGGAGAAAATTAAAAAAATTGTAAATTTAAAATTCCCATGTTATTCTTATGGATAATAAATAAACTGTTTTAGTTTGCTTGTTTATGGATATATTTTAATCAAATTTGGCAATTTGGTTTGTTTCATACTAAGCTATCAATATTTCAATTGAAAAAACACACCTCAACATCTTCCCCGTAGCAGCAAACCTAACTACTCACTAAAATTAATGTTATTAAATCAAGCCGGGTAAATGGAAATTCGCTTAGTATGCAGGTTTGCTACGACGGGGGTATTTTCTCAACTCGTGTGCATCACAGGGAAAATCTACGCATACTGTTACTGTTGGGAAGATATTTTCCTGTAGATGTGCATAGATTAAAATATTCTCAAAATAAGCACAACAAATTAATTTGAAATTTAAAGAAATTAACATGGGCCTTATGGGTTGCATTGTGGTGACAAAATAACAACAAATAAACAGAAAATCAAAACAAATGGAAGAAATTCCAATCACATGTTTTATATACAGGCTGGGGTCAAAATATAGAATCCTGTACATTACATATTTTGGTCGAGTTTTCGACCACTGGACCACTAATCATAATAAAAGTTGGAATTGGAACAGTAGGTTATTTTATGAATTGAGATGTGGACGCCACCTATTTGCGTATCACCACCTATGAGTGTAGAATGGAGTGAGATGATCCGCGTAGCTTGTTACTGACTAAGATCATTATCAGTAGACACCCTTAACATGTTACCACATTATACCGTTGTCCAAACGGAGCATTGACTTAACTAAAGCTGCTCAAATAACTATCTTTAAGCTTCCACAGGATTCTCTAACACTTCTCGAAGGCACACGTGTTTATCTCAGTAACCATATGGTTTTGCGACTCAGCAGTGTTTATATCAGCAGGGGGGTGGGGGGGTATATCGACCCCTGACACACTGACCCCCCCCCCCAGACCTACTTCCGCATCCCCTAGCCGCAGTGTTTGGGTGTTATGACAAGTGGAATGATCCAACCTTAGGTCGTTCACTCTAAAATTTGAACAAATACAATTTTTCTAATTTAATTCTTTGGGGTCATTTTATAAAGTTTTAGTAGAGGTGGGTGAAATAACTAATTTGTAGCTTTGGCTATAGAGAGAAGTAGATATTCAAATTATCATGCTAAATAAGTTGTCACAATAAAAAACTTGATCTACTGAAAAAGTGTGGTGTGGTGCCAATTCGATTTTTGTCAATTGACTTTTTTTATTCAAGCGAAACTGAAATGGTCACTTACTGTTACAATACCTATTTTACTGTTACAATATCTATTTTACTGTTGCAATAACTATTTTACCTACGACCGTTTTTTAAAGTAGCCGTTTCAGTTCAGTTCTTCTCATAACAGGATATTGTTTACTTTAAATAACATCATAGTTTTACCACAGACAATGGAATAAACATTAAAGTATTATATTGTCTGTGGTTTTACTCAAAACAACACGGGTGACGGACCAATAAGGTTCAAGGATTGAGAGAGGAGAAGTAAAATTGTAATGATTCGAAATTCAACTAATCAGCTGTTCAGGCCAATTTAATTGTTGATTGGTGCAATTAATTAGTGTTTGGTACAATGTTTCGTTTCATCACTGTAGCAATAATGAGAGGTTATAAACGAAAACATAACCTCTCAGAAGTTATGAGCAGTGATTTTTAGTAATTAAAAAACTCTGTCGTAAATAGTGTTAACGACACTCGTAGAAGTTTTTAAGGCACTTGCCAAGGCTCGTATATTAAATTTTCTCCTCGTGTCGTTATCACTATCTTTACACAATCGTTGCGTGAACTACTAATAACTATTGCGTCTATTTTGTCACATCGAATATCGATTATCAAAGTATTGAAAGTTTAGAGAGAAATTATAATTTTTAGATTAGCACAGCCCCGGTCAATAAAAACAGTTGGCTGAAGCTGTTACCTCTGTATACTAAGTCAATGCTCTTATAATTCCTTTGACACTATGGTTATAATAACATGTAACTTGTGTTACACCATAAACTTGTTAAACTGTTAAAATTAATGTGTTTAATGTTAAAATTAAGAACTATACAACTAAATGGTGTTTTGAACATATACACATCAATTATTCACGCTACACATAAATTAAAACTCTCTTATGATTCAAAATTCAAACAAAAAATAATAAAACTTTTACGGTAAATTGACAAATAAATGAAAAAATAAAGTTGTGCTTTGATATAACATATAATACTAAACGTTCTTACAGATACATTTTTGGTGTTGATATTATCAGCTCTTGCAAAATATTACAGGCGTTATTTCAAAACGAATAACAGTAATTATTGGTATAGTTTTATTGAAGCACTATTGTTTATTTTAATTTTATTATTATTTGTCTGTTCGAAAACAAAAGTTTTTCTTCATAAAAAATACATTGGGATTTTGTTGGCCTATGGGGCTAAGCCCTGGACTTTTATTACAGGAATTGGTGAAAGGAGGTGTCTACACAAAAATACTTAATTTTGACACATCGTTTGTAAACATCTGCCAATTATTAACAGAGGAGTAGTGTTTTCGTAGAAATCGCCTTCACGTATTATATATAAGGATGTACTACGTATACAGATACACCGATGCAAGGACACAGTCTCCATTAGGAACAGTCGGATGAAATTTAAAAAATTGGGTGATATTCACAACTTGTTTACCTGGATAGATGAAAGGGACAATTTGTCCTTATGCAATCAAGAACTCTTCCAATTTGCCACGAGTCGGATGCCTTCGCATTTACACTTAGTTGACAAGTGTATCATACCTTTATTGCAATGAAATCAAAACTATTTAAAAAAAGAATATTGTCAGCCAATGTAAGGAAGGTGTAAAAATATTTGTTACACCTATATTTTGTTAGTGTTAAATTATGTTTTGATTTGACGGCTACAGCAAACTATTCATTAAAATCAACAAATACTCAAAACTTGTGATGTCATTAAATATCACCAGATATTACATAATATCTTTGAATATCCAATATTCAATGATTAATCAAAACTATAGACTATGACATTTGCAGGCGTTGAGTATTTGTTTATTTTGTTTATTTGATTATAACTTTTTCATAGGGAGGGGTGAGGGAGTAAGTAAAAACTTTCATTATAAAATAGTATACTGGTCAGTGGTAAAACTAAAATATCAGGCAACCCCCCCCCCCCCCCCTTATGGAGCTACCCTTCTCTTGCAGTACCCTACCTATCTTGTTTCAGGTGCTCAAAATCAGACAGGTTGTTAAAGTGGAGTGATGGAGTAGTCATCTCTTATTATAGCCAACTAAATCAACGACAAGAATGTAAATAGTTAGTTACGGATTACATTCTACCCAATAACATGTGAAGATTCAATAGGTTTTGAAAATACAGGGCGTTTATAAAAGAATCATCAGGTTGTAAAACATTTTATTGCCGTTAATGTTAAAGAAATACGGATATAAAATATAGCAACAGAAGGGATAGCTCTTAAAATGTTCATAGATACCCCACAAGTGCTGTCCATTAGCCATTGTGCAAGTTTCCAATCTATGCTGTAAATTGTCCCATACACCGGCTAGCATCACAAGGCTGATTTATTCTACGGCATTTCGAATTCGTCCATGGAGCTCTTGAAGGGTTTGAGGCATTGGCGGTACATAAATGTTGTCTTTTACATAGCCCCAATAGAACAAAATCACACACCGTAAGATCAGGAGATCAGGGGACCATTTGAGAAGGGTGAAGTCATTATCACCAAAATGTTTTCTCTTGAATTAATCATTTTGAAATGATGCAAACACGTCCAAGAAAAAATCAAGCCTGATTATTGAACAGCTGATTATAAAACTTGGAAACGTGCTTTATAAGCACATGTTTCAAATATCAATGTGGGAGAAGAATTGGGTGAGGTACATGAGATTAAAACTTGATGATTCTTTTATAAAAGCTCTGTATATAAGGATCACAAAAACCTCCAGTCACCCTGCTTGTGTTTAAGACGATTGTTTAATCCTATACTTTTATATGATCATTGTTTGCTTGTGTATATATGGTTGCACAAATATCTCGTAAGCGCCTTTGACGATTTCCTTCAAATGCTATAAATAATTTATTCCTAGCCTAAAAACTTGTTTAATGCAGTTAAAACTGCCATCAAAATTCTACTTGCTAGTAAAAATGAAAATGCAAAAACCAAAATTTCTTAACATTGGCCTTATGGGTTGCCAAGTAACCACGTTGGTTGAACAAAGTAACAAGGGAAAAGTAAACAAAAGACTTGTAACATGTGTTTAAAACAAGCCACCCACAGTATACTAGCAAATTACAAAATACAGTACAAAAGGAAAAACATCAGTTTCTACTATTGAGCAAAGATTATCTGAAAGATTATTCGATATAGTGGTACAATGGAAATAAACTACCGAGCCATTCGGCTTCGAGATTTTTGTGAGCAATGGCTCGGTCCTAAGGTACTGTTTATAATCTATACATTTTCCCAATAGAGTTGAGAACAGCAAGGACCATTTTTAGCCCAATCAAGGACAGCTGGGTAAAGTTTTTTGTTTCTGACAACTGTTTTGTTACAGGTACCTATCAGGGACAATGGTTGAGAGGGATGAGGCATGGGTATGGTGTGAGGGCGAGTGCTCCCTTTGGCCTGGCCTCGCACTATCGCCCCAACAAGACACTGCGGGCGTCGCTGACATCCCTCCGCAGCAACGAAGGCGCAGCGGGCGCGGAGGCTGCTGCCGAGAGAGACCGTAAGATGGATGACTCGCGGGGCGGCTTTGTGTTGAAGGCGAGGAGTGATGAACCTCCAGTCCGTCGGCGATCACTAGTCGAAAAGTCGAGCGGGATCAAAAAATCTATCCTTTCTGTAAGTTAAATATGTTTTACCACTAAATAAGCATTTTTCATGTATAAGTAACAATTGAATTTTAAAGTCTAGATTGAACTTTAACTTTGAATGGAACATTCTATTCCCATGCTAAAGATGTAGTCAGATTTAGAATGAAAATGAATGTGATTTAAATTGAGTCACTGAGAGGACTCCTCTGATTATTACCATTTTATGTTGAATTACAAAATTTAGCCAAACCAAACTAAAATAACAAACTATAGTAATTGTAAGCTATACTGTTAGAGGTAGCATCTTTTTTATGACACATAATATAAACTGAGCGGAAAATGCAGTTTTTAACTGTATATATAGCATTGACATTACCGATAATAGCACACTCAGTTACAGACAATGGTTTTAAAAACCTGAACCTTATCTCAGTGACAAACACTCTTGATCAATAAAGCAACAGATAAGTAAAAAAAAACTCCTTAATTTTCGGTGACAAATTAATCAAACCATATTTCCAGGGAAAATTAAAACCTGATATCATAATATACTCATTCTAATTTTGTTCAACAGTTTTATTCACTTGTCATTAACAATTATATATTTGTTGTGGGACTTAAAATGTGTTGATATATATGTATGGCAATCTTAAACGAGTTTTTGATCAAACTTATCAAAATACATTTAACATAAATTTAATGCCAGTATTTGGTGTAAACAACTAAAAAGATCCAACATTAGGACGTGCTGGGTGTCATATTACTAAAACATTTGGATTGCCAAAAATAATGTCAAAGTTAAACCTATGTGGGATTTAAATATGTCTACTTATGGTGCACTCTTTGTCTATTAGGGGTTCGAATATTAGGGCATTATATTCAAAACGTGTATACTGTATATTCAAAGGTTAAAACCCAAACCAAATTCCAGAAGTAATATTTTAGTTATCTTTCTTCCAAAATTGGTAAAATATGAGATTAAGCTGGATAAAAAGTACATATTCAACACAAGGGCAGCTTTCTCTTTGGCAAGGTCCTTGTTACTGGTTAGTGAGGAGTGTATGAAAATGGATGTTTATACAGAAGGTGGTTGTAGTTAATGGTGTATGTTCGCATCTGGTGGAAGTATAAACAGCATAAATAATTCAACAATGTGTACAACATGAAGCCGAGGATAAAGATATAGGCAGGCCCAGATGGCCCACTGCCACCAGAGAACACTCCATTGTCTATATTTAATGTCAGAGATTTATACACAAGACAATGGCGGCCTTCAATTAATTATTGGTATATGCAAACTATATACAACGTTATAGAAAACTTTGAAATGTGTTCAGTTACAGTACTTATAAAATACCCCAGCTGCAGCAAACCTACAGATTAAGCAAATTTCCATTTTCCTGGATTTCTACTAAAATATTCCCTTAAAATTTTCAGATTTATTTCCTATTTAAATAACATTAATTCTAATCAGTACTTAGGTATGCTGCTACAGTGAAGGTATTGAGGCCCTTTTTTTATTGAAATGTTGATAGCTTAGTATGAAATAAACAAAACTGCCTAATTTGATTAAAGATCACTCCTCGTAGAAATACAATTTTATATCAAACATGTTATCATAGGGCTTGATGATGATCGTTGTGTGATGCGTCAAAATCTCTCACCATTGTAACATTAAAAAAATACACATTTCAGTAAATCTATCATAAAATGTTTGATATTTTTTTGTAGTTATGGACTATAACTAGCTGAACTTGAGTTTTCCATATTTTTTACTACTTTTGTTTACAGGGGCTGAAGATCCGCAAGCAGCGCAGCACGGGAGACCTAGAGAAGCGTGGGATATCCGGAGGTAGTATCCGCAGTACGGGTTCTAGTGCATCATGGGTCAGTACTGAGTCTTCTCACTCGGGCGTCACCAGTGGTTCTGTACACACGGACTCCAATGCCAGCTTTGTGGTAGAGGTCAGTTATAGAACACAATTTAACCAGAATATTCCATTTCAGGATTCCAGTAAATACAATCAGAGTCTTTTTTTGCCCAAGAGAACAATTCTTCTGTAAGTAAGGTGTGAGGAACCCAATTATCTCTTGGGCTCATAGCGTAAACTACAGGCCTGCAGGAAATCAATTAAAACACAGTTGTATGAATGAACAATGACAGTAATTACGTTAATACATCCAGCTTCAGATCTATTGAATACAAAGGGCAACTGCGATTTCAGACAAGGGTTCTAGGGTAGATTGTCAAGAGGGGAAGAGAGGAAGGAGCTGTCTAGCATTTAAAGTTTAAATTTCACCCCAATATGTTTTTCAGTTACGAATTAAATCATTAAAGCGCTGATAGTTATAGATTTGAGTATTTGTTTATATTAACATAATTATAATTAGTTATGATCAGATCAAATAGTATGAATCGTGAATACCGATTCTATCATATTCCTTTAGCTCTGGTAGGGGGAGCGGGCCCCGTGACCCGGCTGCGGAGCCGCACGTTTTCAAAAGTATAATATTCCATCAGTCTAAGATTAAAAGCTAATACAAGTAACAGGTGCACTTTAAATGATTATGTTCCTGTGTTTGAGCGTAACTGTGGTTTTTTTGTGTTTTAAATTTGATAAATGACAAAATATGTAGAAATATACAGTCTTGATATTAGTCCTGATGATGGAAACTTAGATTTCTTAAACTAAAACAGCAGCTTTTCTGTGGCTACTGTAAGGCTGAAGAGGTTGGTGACCTAAAAAGGTATGGTCTTAAAATGTCTATAAATCTACAGCTTGACATTCCCATGTTTCTGTTTTTCTATACATCTGGTTATAATTGAAATCACAAAACGGTATGGATGAAAACAACTTTTGATCCAGTAAAGCTTTGATGACTTGTTGTGAACACCAATGATTGTTCTGGCTGTTTAAATAGCTACTTGGATGGCAATAATCTCGGAGCAGATATATAATGTTGTCTTAAAGCCTCATTTTTGACATTGTATGTAATACAGTGGTATATTCACTACTAGTCCCGAAAGTACTCTGTTCTGGACAAAATTATGGAAACAACTATTGAGCCACAAAATGGGGCTTCCAGCTGATGTGTTGTGAACGACACTTTTTACCAAGGCAAATAATCTTACAAAGCTTTTCTAAATTTGAATGATCAAACATCATTTCATATTTGATTGGTTCCTATTAAGGAATACATACATTAGTGCTCCTGTTAAACTAAAACGGAGCTTCGTTTGTTTGGGACAGGAAAAGTAATGCTTGGGACAGGAAAAGTAATGCTTAGAACAGGCAAAATCATATCATTTGGTACATAAAACAAAAATAATCTAATTTATGTTTGCCAGTTGGAATTTATGTTCACTTAATGCACCGCCTAAACAATTGTTTTTTTAGAACTCAGTAATAAAGAAAAAATTATTCTCAGCTGTGAAAATAGAGTAATTAGGTAATTGTATTAGCCTATCACCGTACAACCGATTCAAAACCCCCACAACTTAAAAATATTTTGATAACAAAGTGTAAAAATACCAAACTATATTTTAACTATAGTTCGGCCGCTTAGAAAGCGACCTCCTCCAGCATTGGTTTAGCATTAACGCGCAGGTCGTTTTCTAAGCGGCCGAACTATAGTACCGGTACACTGCTTTTAACTTCACCTTTCTATCTTTTCAGGATGAACACATGGACGCCAGTGTTACTGAGACTTATATGGGGGAGTGGAAAAACGATAAAAGATCAGGTTTCGGAATAAGTGAACGTTCAGACGGACTTAGATACGAGGGGGAGTGGTTCGGTAATAAAAAATACGGCTATGGTGTCACGACTTTCAGAGACGGGTCGAAAGAAGAAGGGAAATATAAGAACAATGTTTTAATTACCTCCCAAAAGAAAAAACATTTATTCCTCATACGTTCAGCTAAGTTCAGAGAGAGGATAGACGCTGCTGTCAATGCGGCTCAACGTGCCTCCAAGATAGCTCTACAGAAGGCTGATATCGCCATATCAAGGTGCTATTTTGTTATTACGGTAATGTTTATTGTTTAGTATTTAAAAATTATAAGGTAAGTTGAGGATTGTTTTGAAAAAGATCTACTAACAGTATATTATACTTCTGTGTATCATTTTAATTCATTTTTCAATTAAAATTACAAAGGAAAAATTTATATTTGAACTGTGAGTCATACCATAGACGAAAAGAAATAAATATAGACTGTTAGCGGTGCTGCAGTTACTATGGTTACCATAGGTTCTGGTGCATACCGCTGGGAGTGCCGTGCAGTTACTTAGTGCCAACGCTGTACCTACATGGCACTCCCAGCGGTGTGCGCCAGAAAATATGGTAATCGCAGCACAGCTGACGGTCTCTATTTAATAATTCTTTTTGTCTATGGTCACACATAATTTGAAATCGTTTGTTCTGAGAGATGCAACATGACAGAAATATCTTTTGTAAGGTTTCCTTTACCATACAATACAATACAAATTCTACATTCGTAGACAAAACAGTTTGGCATTTTGACTACTTTAAATAACCCCTTGTTATAATTCAAGGGTTGTTAAAAAGCCATTTTATTATGTAGAAGAAAACTGCTAGAATGTGTTTTTCGTTTTGACATTCAAGTTAATCTCAGAGAATTAAGCACAGTTGTTGGAATCAAGGATGTACTAAAAAGAGGATTGTATACATATGTTTATTTGGTTAATTAATCTCTTGAAGCCACAATTAGTTTTACAGCTTTTTGCCTATAACTGGGGCTGTTGTAGAACAGCGACGGCTCGCGGCAAGGCAGAGCTGGCTGACGTGGCGGCTGAGCAGGCCCGAGAGGACTTTGAGATCGCGCGATCAGTTGCCAAGCAGTTTGCTCCCGATTTCACCCAACCAGGTTTGTATTTCTCGAAAATATCAGCAAGTACTGTTGTGCTGAAAATCATTATGAAATCCTAGTAGTAATGCCATCCTACACGAGGGATCATTATCTAAAATTGTTATAAAATGTCAAAGAAATGTGAAAAATTGTAGCTTAATACATATTGTTTTCTTGTGAAATAACAATTATAACCCAAACAATAACTGTATACTTCCTAGGTCGTTTTCATAAGATATGTTCTTGTTAACTTCTATGCTGGACCTTTTGTCAAGCTGTATTTGAATGCTGACCTCTGCAAATGGTGGTATTCAAATACAGCTCGACAAAACAATGCAACCTTGATGACAATGAGTATACAGTATATTATGTATTATAGTTTTCAGAAGCAAAAAGTAGATGATGCAGATCAATTCAAGTGTCAGTAATAGTGATGGTTACAATACTATCTATATGTGAAAGTACCTATAATGTATTCAACTAAAAATTAAATAACTAATTGACTGACAGTTTATCACATTTTGAAGTTGTGAAACTGCTAGGGGGCGAGAAAAATTGGGTTTGGCCAACTCCAAGATGTCCCCTACAACAATCAGAAGTCAAAACGAATTAAACTTTCAGTGCATACTCAATCTCCTAAAGATGCTAGACTCATACTTAAGAACACAGCATGCATAAACATTAGATTTTACTTTATATTGATGAATGCTATAAGCAATGGTGTTATTTTCAGGGCTGGAAAAGTTAAGAAGTAGAGAAATTCCAAAATATCGGCCTCCTCCAGAGGATATGCAACCGTCTAAATCAATTTTACAAAAATCTACCCATTCAACCGACTCCAATGTTCCTACAACGGCCATGAACTCCATATCAAACCCATCACATCCGAGTACATCACAGTCACAGTACGAATCACAGTACCAATCCAAACAACAATCGTATCAAGCCCAACAATCGCAAAATTCCCAACAATCACAGTATCAACAGTCATCAAACTATCCCAACACACAGCAGTCTTCGATCTCACAAACACAAGCACAATACAACCAATCCCCTCAGCATCAGTTGGAAACACAACAGCAACAACAGTATCAAGCCCAACAACAGTATCAGGCTGAACAACAACAACAGCAACAGTTTCAACAACAATTCCAAAAACAGTTTCATTCTACCCAGCCCCAAAACTACCCGCCAAATCAGCAAAATCAAGATAAGCTACCTCAACAGCTGGTGACTCCCCCCACCCCTCAGCCTGAACAGCATAAGATGAACCCTGCTACCTCCGAGAGCCAATACCCAAGAAACGAACTGAGGCGCAACTCCAGGCAGGTTCAACCATCAGGAGACGCGCCTGGCTACAACTTCCAACAGGTTTGAATTATTTCTTATTCAACTGTATTTATGTATTTTTTCATTGTCTGGCCCTTTTTCTGGTATTTTTACCATCGAATGTCAACTTGTTGTAAGAAAGCGTGTTAAATTGATATGTCAAAGACAAATGGGATTGGGGCCACTGAATCATCCTCTTTTGGAAACAAACCAACAACCTTTCACATTGGAAGGCAAGCTAATAACTATTTTTCCACAGAGACAGTCGTTAATAATTAACAAAATTATTAAGTTGGCTGAAAAGAGGTATTATAAAACAAAATCAGAATTTTGTAGTAATAGTACTACAGAAAAGTAGTAATAGTACGAGTTGTATATTAAATAACGGTATTTATTTTATAAATAAAACAAAAGCTATCTTGCCTTTTTTTAATAGTCATTGTCATTGATTACATGTTTGCGAGTTTCCGGTAAAATATTTGTTTGCGGTTCGCCAATAACATTGTTAAATTTTTACCTTCCAAAGCCGCGGCGCCCCCTAGCTGCGGCGCACAGGGCGGTCGCCCCTCTCGCACTGCCCTCGGGGCGGCCCTGACTGTAGGTACCATATTCCTCTAATAAGTACCGATGTTTTCAGGCGATGAGTGATCACTTCGACCACTACAAGCGACCGCCTAGCAGAGACAGTAGCGTGGACCGCTACAGTCGAGCAGCCAGCCGCTTAGCAGGCAGTCGACAGCCGTCGGTGGACAAAGCACTTCCACCGGAACCGTCAACCCCCCGCGCCCCTTCCTTAGCACGTTCCACAACCCCTGTAGCGGGGAACGGAGCTGCCGTGGGGGCGGGGAAACCTGCCTATGTGGTGCCTAACTTACCTTCCAGTCCCCAGCCGCCTTTTGAAGACGTCATCATCAGGAAACGGGGTCTTGGTCAAGATATTGTGCCTTCGCCTCTGGGCAAGCCAGCCAGAACTGAATCACTCTATGTTGCAGCAGCTACGAAAAAGGCAGCACCTCCACCGATTAAGGTGAGTTTGTTTGTGGTAAATTTGTATATTTAACAAAGTCTAGTTGATACAATGTCTAGAATATGACTAAGGGTACCTGTGCAGTTGAGTTTGGATGAACGTTGATAGTCTAGATTCTAGCTTACTCGCTTAAAGCTACGTAACAATTCTTCCACATTTGACATCATACCCAGACAAAAAGTGGTTTTGTTTTCCGATGGTTGTAGCGAGCCTGGAAGAGAAAAATTAGAATTACTAGTACCCTAATTTTTTTACAATCCTAAAAGCTATGGGAGGGCAAAACCCAACATTATATTGAGTAGGTACCTTAAAATAATTTATATTCATTAAAACATTTGTTGAACAACGACAATCCCATTCCAAAAATGCATCAATGCTATAATTCTAATAGTAGTATAATTTTTTGTGTTTTAAATACAAACGTTAAATAGTTCTTTCAGTTGATTGTTGTCATCCCAACAATAATTTATGACATTTTCAAGTTTTTTTAGACTTTTGCATACAATTGAGGCTTCAAGCCAAAGATCAAGAATCTTTAACCCTTGGAAAAACTCCTTTAACTGACACTAAATCACTCAAACAACGGGCTATAATTATATCTGGCTACATCCCATATTTTTTCTATTATGATGAGTCATTAAAACCAAATACGACTGATTTCATAGTAAACTAATTTATTTATTTTTCTACTGCTTTAAGACATTGTAATGGAAATGTGAAAAAGCTTTAGTAGTCGTCTTCTTTGAGTTTGTTACTTCTATAATGCGGCATTTTAGGAGAGGGCAAGATTTAAAAAGTTTCTTCAGGAAAAGACCATCCACTCAATGTAACAAATACTACCGATGTAGTGGTACTGGGCTCATGAGGATGGTTTGGAGGCTCAATTATATTCTAAGATCCCTTGTGCGTTCTACATCTCCAGGGGTGCCCACAGGGGGGTTTGATGTCGCAAAATGCGACATCAGAATTTTATTTGGGGGGGATTTTATGATTTTGGGGGGATTCAAGCCAGTGGTTGGTTAAAAGCACATAAAAGATTAATCAGATAATTTTTACGACCTCCTTAATTTATTATTGGGGTAATTATGCAATCAAAATCCCGTTTGACATTTTATCTTGATTAATAAATCATTTAATAATTGCTATAAAATATATAGATACTTTTATGTGGATTTCCACTTTCTGACTCTATCATGTTTGACAGTGAGAACAACTCCATGCCAACTGCTGTCAAAGGATTATGGTTGCTTATTAAATTGTATCTGCAATTTGAGTTTGTTTTTACCTTTCATTATGAACTTATTCTCAAATAGTCTCATTGCCTTGAGGACCTATTGATGGGTTTTTAGGTTTGTTTATTATAATATATTCTTGATTCATAAAAAACCAGTATTATGATAATGATAATCATTTTGCTATTTTTACAACATAACAACATGAAAGCTTGTGATAATATTTTGGCTCTCCCAAATAATTATGCCTGGGTCATTTATTCATTGGAAGAAATTGACATACAGTACTGTGACAATTTAATTAAGGTTTTTGATAGGCTATGTGTTTACGTTAACTTCAAGAACTGAAACACATGATCCTCGATTAATTAAATTTTATTTGTTATTGTCTTTTCTTGAATCTAGAAAGAGCTTTAAACAAATTTTACTAGTCTTAGAATAGATATATAATTATTTTTTCACGCCACACTACACTATTTTGACGAACTTCCCATGCAAGGATTTAGTCCAGAAAACAGCTGTTTGTCCTTAATTAAATGAGGTTTCATACAGTACTACTGTACTGTAATGAGTTTTGCCGGACACCAATCAGCTGTTTATACTGTATTTGGGTGGCAATGAGTGGTTATAACAAAAATTTTAGTCCTTTAGTTGGTGGTAATATAGGGATTTGAACGGATTTAGTAGTATGGCGTAAACTATCGTACGTCACTCGTCCAAAATGTGTTGGCCGGACTCGTATTAAAAAAACCACTACTCGACTTCGTCTCGCACGGGAATCAGGACTAGTAACGTAATATACTATTTTACCACACTATGATGTTTTTAACTGTTTTACATATAGGTACATTAATTGGTGGCTGAAAGTTACGTTTTGTAGGCCATGCCAGCTGTGATCGTCATTTGGGGATCGAGCAGGTTTTTACATCCCTAGGGCCGCAAAATCAGCTGCCCGTTTTAAATACACAATCATTATCCATAGCATTGCAATAGAGTTGTTTTATTGTCACCGCTGACTAGCAACTATTTATTATTATTTTTGCTGATTCCACAAATTATTTATCCACATGACCTTAAAGTTGTAGTTGTGTTGACTATATCAGTGTGCAGTGCATTATTATTGAGGTGAATTAGTGGTAATAGGGTATAGTGTGGGGTGGTGAATAATAGCGTTCGTACCACGGACTGAAATGGTTTTGCAGTTCTCGATCGTTTTAAGTCCTCGACCTCGTATCGAACTTAAAAACTACCTCGAACCAGCAAAACCTCATTTTGGCCCTAGGCACGAAATAAGTTTAGGCCTAGTAATATTTTTGATACTGAATATTTTACACTTATTTAAAAAGGACCAAACTCAGAAGTGGATTAAAGGGCAATTTAGAAAATATCTCAAACTTTTTGACATAACTTCAAGTACTTTCTCCCCTACAATTTAATATGGTAAAATAATTGTTTATGCAAAAACCCTGATCCCAAAAAAGTGGTTTTCGAAGTGATGTGTGTGTCTGTCTGTATGTGTGTATGTATGGTACAGAGCTACAGACCACGCCTGTGGTCCGAGTCCGATTTTGATGAAATTTGGTATTTTAGGTACCAATCCATGGTCTCTCCAGATGTTTTTTTTTTCATTTTGGATTTTTAATAGTGATATTCCATAAAACCCTATAAAATAATGGATGAATAAAATTTTCTCAGAATTGGCCCGAAAGATTTTGATTAAAAATTAACATGTTATACTCTTTGACTATGACAAAAATTGTATAAACCCTCTATGCCGTAAAAATTATGGTTCAAAAGTTATTGCAAATTTTGTGATTTTCCCTTTTAAAACCTATTAACTCATGGAAAATCGGATAAAAAAAAAACTACATGGCCAATTTTGATTCAAATTGTGTGCATGTTAAAAATCCAACTCATTTAAATTAAAACTAAACTAACAAAAAGTTTGCTACTAGAGTTTTAAAGGAAAATTGTCCATTTAAATCGGATTAAAAGTTTGATTCAAACGCCTAAATTCCCATAAATTTAAAGAAGTATCGGGGGCACCCCTTCCCTCCCCGCATTATAAACATAACTATGGGCTAGCCCCCAGACCTTCCGGCATGGGTTAAACAACGAATTTGGGGGGGATTCTGCGACGTGAGCTTTGGGGGGGATGGGCACCCCTGTACATCTCTAAGTTTGAATTTATTATTTGATCTAATTAAATACTGATCTTATTTATTATAATGCTATAAATTTTGTTATAAAATAAGAATGAAGCGATAACCTTCCCCTTGTGCCATAAGGCCAAGAATGGTGTTGGTTTGTCTCAATTTACATGTTATAATATTAACAAAGTGAATGATCCCTAACCCCTTAGTCCCCCCTCCTCTTGAAAAGAATTAGAACATAATTCAATTTAATAACTAACCACTACGACTAATCCGATTGTTGCTCAGTCTTCGGCGACGGGCCTTCCTCACACTCGACTCCTTCCCCACTCTCCCCCCTACGGTATAGACTACGGCAGATCGTACCGGTTGATAGCAGATCAGCTGTGGCGCAAGCATCACAATAAAAAGCCAATGAGTTTTATTTGTATTTTCATTTTGTAATTGTTTATGTAATAGTACTTCACGCAACGATCACGTAAGGATAGTCTTCATGACAAAAGCATAAAATTTAAGGTACGAGCCTTGGCGAGTGCCTTTAAAACTTCTACGAGTGTCGTAAAGGCTAATCACGCTAGTTGCATACACTACTTTACCTATGACCGTATCTCAATTAACTTCAATTAACTCATAACTTCCAAGAGAGGTTATGTTTTCGTTTATAAACTCTCATTGCCACTGATTGTGATGAAACGACTTATTGTCCCAACCACTCATTTGTTGTTTAATCAATTAAATTGGTCTTAACAGCTGATAAGATGACGTTCGATGTATTACAATTTTATTTATTTTTTCTTGATTCTTTTATCTCATTGGTCCAAACTTGTACTGTAAAGTAACAAAACCAAAAAAATACTGTTAAGTAAGTAAACAATACTGTAATGTGATTATCTATATAAATAAAATTATAAGAACTGAATTGAAAAGACTAGCTTAAAACACGGTCATAGGTAAAAACATTTTAGAAACGAAGGGAGGGTAGGTTGGCAACATAATTACAGCACTTGTGCTTAGGGATGAGATAAGATTATACCTCTATTATTGATGTAACCCTTAGGAATAAGTATCCTCTGGTGCAACATGAATCCTAAAATTTATTGTTCTTTTTTTACAATGTTTTCTTCAATGTCGGGAGATCATCAAACAAGGCTATGATAATTTGAAAATACTGGAAACAATTTACAATTTGAAAATATGTCATCCCTAAACAATGTAGTAAGGTTGGGAAAATGTGTGATGTTGAGGGGATGTACTCCTTCCTTTTTAGTTATAATTAATAACAAGGCGTAGACACTTCCTGCGACCAGGTCACGAATAAAGAAATAAAACTTGTGGCGACCGAGTTGCCTAGTTTGGACGTAGCCTGATTATAGAACATAGGAGGCAACTTTATGAGAAACTGAGACTGACTAACATGCATACCAGAAGGGATTCCACAGAAAGGCTGCCGGTCCACAAGGTCTGAGGCTAAGATCAGGTTTTTGGTCACCTTGTTCCTTCTACCCCTGAGTGTCCAGGGACCCAAAAAAGTGTCACTTGCCCAGGGCAGATACTGTTGTGAGACAGTCCCAGACCACCTTGGACTTGAACTCTCAGGAGTCAAGTGCCTTGTGCGCCTGGCAGTCTGTGAAAATAGAAATGTTTAAGCCATGCCTCAGGTTCTCTCTAGTACACTCCAAGATCACAAAGACCTCAAGTTTGGAACATTGTTGGAAGCACTCACTTGGGAACGCACAAGTTCACGTTCTACACACCGTGTATTCCAACTCCTGTTTATCTCTTATCTTGGAAACAGTGGTATACTATTCCAGGTAGATGTAGAAGATGATTTCCTCTTAACATCCACTTCTCCGTCCTGATTACTTCTAATTTTTGCCAGGTTATCCAGAGATTCTTAGCTCTCTTAAATATACATTTCTAGAGAGATTTAAGGATTCAACTATCTAATAGAACAGTAAATTTTTGAGGTTTTGCTTTATTTGATAAGCTGCAGTACCTGATTCATGATGTCTGTGAGAGTAACACGAATTTACCTCTGAGCATGTGCTATAGGTCTTTCAGTGCAGCATAAGTTCACAAGTTTAAAAAAATACAAATTCTAGATGGAGACTCCCTTTTGATTTTTGGTTTAAAATTCAGGGAACACTGGATATGCTTTCCTTTTGATTTTGTTGTACAGTTCAACTCTCTCAATTGAGTGTTCATTGACTCTAAAGGAATGTGCTCTACTGCATCTGAGTTTTGGATTCTTGCCATGATCTACACCAGATCTAAGTGCACAGACTGGTCTCGGATTAAGCGAAAATACTTGGTGATTGAAGGTTCTAAGATTCATGAAGATTTATAAAGTGTATTCATGTTATGAGAAAACTAAAGAAGAAAAGTATGAAGAACTTTTTACCTATTCAATGTGACACCAGACATACTACATGTATAGACAATTTACAGGAAATAAAGGCTAAAATTCTTAGTAAAAATTTTAAAATTGAGAAGAGAAACCGCAGTCTAAACCAAGGAAAAATAACTCTCAGAACTCAAATACAGGATAAACTTTGTTTCACCTTTATAAGAAAAATAACTCTTGTTCTACATCACTATTATCATAAAATAAATTAAGTTTAGTCTTATGGTACAGTACAGTACAGTAGATATTTCCTACAGCTAAACTGAAACCAGAGTGAGATTGAGATATAGGGACCAGTAAACATAACGTATAAAGTGAATACTTGCTTGACACACGAAAGAAACAATGGAGGGGAAAGGGAGGGGGGAGCAAGCAGTGGGAGATGGCTGGGAGAGTTGGCTGACTGCCCAGAAAAGGGGAGAGGGGACCCAGGATGTCTCAGAGCTAAAAACGGACTCATTTACTCCAGTCGCAACGATGTGGTCAGTGGAAGATGAGGAGGAAGAGGACCTCATGTTCAGCCCGGCCCTCATGGCCAGACGGGCTAGCGAGAGCTGGATCACCGCTCCGCCCATCGAGGTATGAAACCTTACAGTTCCAGGAGAAAACCATAGTTTACCTAACAGGAGAGGGAAGGAGAAGTGACCATCAAAGTGTTCTAGCAGGGCCTAAACATCGATGAATCTAACTTATTGTTATTTGTTTATGTTCAATTCTAAAGGTCTAATACCCGGAATCTAAAATGGAGTTTGTTGCGCAATTTTGGCTATCCGCCAAGACTCAGTTGGTAGACAGCTATTATTGTAAACTGTTATTTGGATCTTCCCAACACCGGGAGCTTGATTTGTCTATTCTAATTAGTCTCATTGTTTCTGACTGTTCAAACGATACAGATAATTTCTTTTGTAATGGGTTTGTTTTTAAAAGTTATCTTACAGAGTGCTACTTTTTGTAATAGAAGGTTTTGTCCTTAAGTAGTCTTTTAGTTAATTTCTAAGATGAATTAAACCTGGTAAAATTGTATTCGTCCCATATTAAATGTCTCATTGAGTTAGTTTGTAAACTCTTAGATGAACTGTAATATTTACTAATGTAGAAAGAAATATTTTACTCAAAGCTGCGAAATAGTAAAATATCAACTTAGAAAATACCATGACCTTTTCTTTCTTAGTAAGAATTTGGTATGGAATCATTCGTTTCAAACTGCGCCTAGAGTGATGCATGCTGCATAGTATCAAACCTCTCATTTAACACAAAGCACTTACACTAAGCTACCGTACCAGTCGCAGCGGTGTGTGTTACACCACAGAGTTTAAAAGGAGCCTAAAACATTACAATGTGAGTTGGTGAAACTCCAGGAAATTCAAGGGAAATAAGGAACCGAATCAATTATGTGACTGTATGGATTGAAAACACAGACATTGAATCAAATAATTTTTAAGATTTACTTTTATTAGCATCACCAGATATGTTATGGCATCTCAAACGTCCAAATAAAGGAGCACTAGCTTGGATTGCAGGAATGGATTTCAAGCTGTAACAACAGAATTGTTGTTTCTGTTAACGTTGTAAACCATTTAGTTAGATTTTTTAAAGAGTTTGAAGAATTGGTATAGGAAATTTGGTCCGAGATATTTCAGATCCAATTTCATGATGGTTGGCCACTGGATCGTTAAAATTAGCACTAATAAGGCTTATGTTACCAGGCTTCTGTCTACAATTCACGGTAGTTTTAGGAAACTACAGCTGTTTTATGCCTCTATTACACACATCATTAGGTTTGTTGAACGCCAGCTTCCTTACACATCCCTCGGTGTTGAGTTTGTCATGGTTTTACGATGAACATGAAGACTCTTACACACACTTACACACACAGAAACACACAAAACATTTAAACATTAATTAAGGACGTCGACCGACTGCGAAATGTGATACGGCGCCGGTGAAGGGTTCAATTGAAAGCTTCAAAGACTACAGCTCATGACACGTATGCTGGCACTAGGGTCTAGAGTGGGCAGTGTTGGTGGGGAGGGTGGAGGTAAGGAAAATACCAGAGTGCAAACATTCCCGCTGACTCATGGGGTGTAGGGCCTCTCTAGTGTTTTGTGTACTTGAGCGCCTTCACATAGGTCGCAAGGACAGGATTGTTTTAACTTGATTTCACTATAATTGATTAGCTTGATATCTCAGACAGTATGGTTATGATTGTGTGTTGCATGAAGAGTTCAATCGTTAACATTTCTTCAGCAACACAAAATCCAAATCACATTTGACAACTTGTTACAGACCATACCAGTCAGCACTACAAGTCTCCAACGCAAGAAGAGTCTACCCGACTTCCAAGGTCTACCTCGAGCTGCTGAACCCATGTCTCGAGAGGAAGCATCCGTACTGAGCTCGGCGAGAAGAGAGGAGGTGCGACGGATGAATGAAGAAACTGAGAAACTTCGTGCCAACCCACTGTTGTACCTCGTCAGTCCGAGTGTTAAGGTAAAAACATGTAGCATGCGTACTTTCTTCTGGTTCCAAATACTTCCTGCTCACTCAAAACCACCCCTGACTATTTTACAAGATGATTAATTCAGGTGGGCAAGAAATTAGAACTGAACAAAGTGTGTTCTTCATTATATTCGAGAGCAGAAATTTGTTAAGTTTTTTTTTATACATCTTAATGCTGAACGTTGTCAGGTGTGGAACAAACATCATTAGCGGTGTGCTGCTGTAGCACAAATCATTTTATGCCTCTTATCATAGAAGACGCTACTGTATACAGTTTTCAGGTTGTAATATTTTAAAGTGTTAAAGTGTAATGAACGAGATAGTTACTGAACATGTTGTGTTTCAGGACTGGTTTTCCAGACAACAACTGGTGATGCTCGTACTATTTGTCAACATCTCTTTAGCCATCATGTTCTTCAAGCTACTCACATAGTAATTACTGAGGTGTCTGTGAGACAGTATCCATCCGGTGGTTTCTTCAATGGCTAGCGACAAGTAGCCATTGGTCATGAGACTGATAGCGCTCTAAGAGCAAAAGACAATTCCTCTAAGACTATCGTTGCAGTTTCGAGCCCAGTGACGACCAAGTGTATCGAAAGATTTGAAAGGATTTTTGAAGTTTTATATATCGAATGCTCTAGTCATGCAAGCACAAATATATTCACTTTAAGTGTTGGTAATCCCCAGCATTGTTTCTTCCACTTCTCATGTGATGGAGAATTCCAAAGCGATTGTGCCTATTTAAACCGTAAAAATACTAAGCTGTTGAATATTCAGGAGGAAATTCTATTGAAAGTCACTAATTCGGTTTTTTACTATATTCCTTCTCGGTCCGTTCGCCAAAGATTTGTTTTTTTACCTATCTGTTGTGTTGTTAATGAAAGCCGTTTTGTATTAACTGTATGTATCGAGTTAGATTTTTAACAAGAGGTCCTGAAACTCAGAGCTAGTACATACAAGGCTGTCAAGGGATCAGGCGAAAGCCATAGAAATTATCGCTATTTTACTCAGATATTTTATATATTTCCTTGTAAATAGTATATACGATTTTTACAACACTCGGAAGTAAATTGATAAAATTTGTTGTATCGAATCTCTATGCTTGTACATAATCTAGATTAGGATTATTACTATTGTTACGTTAAAATATTTTTCACTTCAGTAAACTAAGTGAAGGATCAGTAATTTTGTTATAAAGGGAATTTTTCCATTGCCATTTGTGTTCCCTTTGAGTTTCCGGGGGCGGTTTCGGTGATGAAGAAGCGTTGTGCCTTGTACTTCAGTGGGAATGAGAGAGGTCCAACTTTTACAACTAATTGCCTCCCAATTCCGAATGATTTGTCTTAAAAGAGTTACCACTGTTCTTTAGAATAGCTCCTTGCTTAGTTTTGAAGTGAAAATTTATCTCTATGTTCATCACGTTGCCAATAAATTACATTTTTTGAACAGGTCAGTGTTTTTTTCTCCACAAGAGTCAAAACTTCAAACTTGTATAATTAATAATTAATTATAATAATAATGATTATTATTATACTACAATAATTTCAAATCATTTTTAATTCAAGAATGTCTATGGTATAAGATACATATTATGTTGTAATGCAAAACTTAGGACACCAAGGTTTTAAAATGTATTTAATTTTTATGCCTACTTGTGGAAAGTTGATGTAGCAAGCAGTCCATGACAGAAAAACATTGTCCAACACTGAAAAAATTCACCCTCGTTACCTCAACCAGCCCTGTAAATCTGCAAGTAATATCCAATAGACAGCTAATTCATATTCATAGGCTTACTGGTAAAAAAATACATCAGGTAGCGGAGCTAGTTCCAAAATATAGATGTCAAATAGTGCAGTGTCTTAAATGAAATGTCACTATAACCTCTAAAGGTATGGTTGAACTCCGGATCTAGGTCCAACCACGATTTGGTTATAGCTACTAATCTTCTATAAAAAGAGAATTTGCTTAAAGTTTGTGCTCAGTAACTTTTCATGTTCTAATTATATTACTTTCGTATTTATTTAGTTACAAAATGAATTTAAAGCAATATAAACTGCACAGGAGTTCTGATTTGATTTTTGTTAGCACTGTGCAGAATTTGCTAAAATTAAAAGCCATGTTTACACACACAGGGACTGGAGTTTAAACCCAATTTTTACAATGACCGAACAAGCTGTAGTTTGTAGCTGACAACATTTTGAACAGTTTTACAATGTTTAGAAAAGGAATTACGTTTTTGAGAAAAGTCAGATTAAGGAGTATTGTAAACGTTTAAGCTTATCCTACAAACTGCCTACTATCATTGGTTGACAACAGATGGTACAAAACTCCATTTAAGACTATAATGTTTTTTTTTTCTAAACAGCTGATAACAACAAAAGTCTTTAACATTTGCTAACTCCAGTGTAAACACAGATTGAGTTTCATCATTAAAATCTTTGTAGAGGGGCATTACCAACAGATGGTCCTACATAATTTATGTAGTAAATTTTAAAATTTTTATTAATTTAAATATGACACTTTATCAAAAGGGTATATATTTAGTTCCTACAGTTGATGGTATGGAAAACTCACTACAGTAATAGAGGAATGGGTAAGATGAATTATTTGCCCAATAAATATGATCAACATCAATTTATTTACAAAATAGTACACAATTAAAAGATAACACTCAGTTATTTCAACCTTTCTTCTACTATCTAAAAACAATGCCTGTTCAACATTTTTGATGACTAGAATTGATTTTAAGGCAGGTTATCATTCATAATACAGTAGACCCCCTCTTAACCGACCTCGTATTAACCGATAATCGGATTATCCGCCTACGATTGTAAAATAATACAGTTTGTTTTAACCGACTTTGCTTTGAGAGCAGCTCGGTTTAACCGCCGCTTTCTAGGAATCTCGGCATTTCCGCTCCCACGCTGGGCGATGAGAACTGAACCATACGCTTATCTCCACAGGATATGACTAACAATAAGTTATTTTGTGTTGATCACAAAAGATATAGCATAGCCTGTTGTCAGTTTGTCATCATAGTTCGTACCTCGAGCACATCTGATCTGATTTGTTATCTGTGCGGCAAACTTATAACATCATAAACTGCGTTACGATTTTGAGAACTGATTATCTTATCGCCGGAGTAAACAAACAATGCAACTTGTAGGGAAGGGGGGTTAACAACTCCAAGGTCAAGATAGTTTTTGTGCTTGAGCCTCCAGTGAGAGGCTACAAATAAACGTCCTGTCTTGTAACAAAATGGTCGCTTGTATCTTTAATGTCGTCAAAAGGTTCTGTACTGTATTACGATGTATTTGGAAAGCATAAATTAATACATTACAGTACTAAAGTTATTAAAATAGGAATTTTGTTGACTCTTGCGTAGTATTATAATATATTCCACTGAAAGTAGGCCTATTTGACTTAACCGTGCTTTGTGTTTATTTGTGACTTTTCTATCAATATGAAACAGGAGATAAGAGTAGTTTATTTGATAAATAATGCAAGTATGATTTCAAAATAATGATTATGAGTGAAAATTTAAAAACGTACGTTTTCATGTCCCTGGCCTTTTACTTCGTAGATACTGGATTTGTAGTTTATTATTATGTGTTTTAATATTTTTTGGGACGGGGGCAACATGTTACACACATTTATTTGGTTTTAAATAGGTTCTAGGTATTTTTTTCGTATTTTTAAAGTCTCGAAATTCACGACCATGACGTGTCCCTAGGGTACATTTTCCAACTTTCACGCTGTTTTTAGACTAATTATTCATGCCGAAATATATAAAGCCATATTTTTATGTCATCAATGGTTATTAAACTTACAAAAAAGGAGCATATTATAATTTTAATGTCATCACAAACTGACTACCATGACAAAATAAGTCTGTCCCTCGATTTGGCGTCACGACCATTTGGGAAAAATTTTCAACTTTGGAGCACGACAGTGGCAAGCCTGGCGTCGATGGAGTCAGTTGGTTTTAGAGACTAGTTCGGGGTGTACGTCAGGATTGTAGTGCCGGTCGTTTTGAGTTGAAAGGAGGAATTACAAGATTAATAAAGGAAATATTGTGTTTTTTGTAATTTTGGTGTGTCCATGACCGTACGTAGTCATTCGATGAAGTAGACATGGTGTTAATTTTTGTTTATAAGTTATTTCAATTGCTAGATTAACCTAGAAGTCCACTTTGTATCCTCGAACATGAGGTGCAGGGCTACCACCAGAACAGAGCCAAATAACACGTAATTTCACGACCAAAGTTTCACGACCATCGCGGGTTTTTTCACGACCAACCCAGCCTTATGGATTATAGTGTGTTTGGTCGTGACAAGTTCTTTAATATAATTGTAAATTGAACAGTTTAGTGCAATTGAAACACATATTTTTATTATAACTAACAGGATAATTGAAGGATTGTTTAGAAAGATTTAGATTATTCCAGACAATTCACGACCGTACCGCTTGTCCCTGACCATCACGTTTATGATTTCTATCATAAAAATTTCAAAAATTAAAATATCGTCATATTTCAATGTTTTATACACAAAAGAAGCACACCTCTATACAAACATAACGATTTTTCGGGTCTCAGGTAAGTTTTTTCGGAGTTATACAAACTTAAAAAGATTTTATTGGCTTTTTTTTAATTTTTTGTTTTTTTATTTTTTTCTAGAAAGACTAAATATACCAAAAGCTCAGTGACCTTTTTATTGTATAATGGTCATAAAAGTAAATTAGTTTATAGCAAAACATATCTATACAAATAATACTAACTATTTTTAATATTCATTTAAACGTCCGTTATGGTCGTGACAGGATTTTGTGTTTTTCCACTAAAGATGCTCTTTTAAAAAGAAACTACCAAAGATATTGCGTTACCATGGACATTTTATAAAACTTCAAATGTTAATGAAATAAAAAAAATAATAAAAGTTTTGAAAAAAGGGGAAAAAAATTTGCAAAGTGCTTTTCCTGAAAACGTACGTTTTTAAATTTTCACTCTTATATAATTCCAAATGAATAGCACTTCATTATGTTATGATTTTAGGGATTGCCCGTTTTATCCGACCTTTTGAGTTATCCGACCTAGGTCCGGTCCCATAAGGGTCGATTAAGAGGGGGTCTACTGTAATTAAACTTAACAGTATTACGTTCATTCTAAATAGTGGCACACTAAAATAATATGTAACTAAGCAATAAATAATAAGCATCCATGACTTTCAAATATTAAAGTAACAAGTGAAGCAAAAACTGTGCAACACTACCACGAATACTAGAAAAATACCGGTATGGGTAATAAACATAAACCAATGACGTTTTTGGCCCGAAAGTAAACCAAACCCCTATACTAATAGCATTAATGAACACATGGTTTTGTTTACTTTCGGGCCAAAAATGTCTTTTGTTTATGTTTATGATTCAAACCGGGTATTTTATGGTACAGTATTTGTGAACACTACAAATTCATTATAATGTCCATGGGCATGTTCTCATTCTCAAAGCTACTTTAATAGTGTCTGTTCAGTAATGAGTATTGATTTGATAAATCAAAGCATATTGAAAGTATAGCTTTTAGATATTACCGGTGTGCTCGATTTGCAGCAGAACGGTGTTCTGGTACCTCTCTTTTGAAAAGATAAAAATATTGCCATAAACAGTTACTAATCACAATAAATAGGTTACAGTTACGGCACCTAATAAAAAAAAATCAAATATTATTACTGTGTAATTGTTTTGAAAAAAAAAAATTAAAACACTCAATGGCAATGTTAATTTGTTTGAGTTTAATGATTACAATGTTAGAAAGTAAACAGCATTTTGATTGGATATTTGGGATACAAAAGTATAATTTTAAGTCTCACCGATTTAAAAATTCTGCTGCTTGTCTGTTACAATTACTCCATTACAAAAAACCTCTTATCATTATTCACCTTAAATTTTAGAATAGGAAAATTCAGTTAATAACAAGGAATTCGGTTTCCTTAAATAGTTCTTTAACATTAATTTCTACAAAAGGGAAATTGGCTACAACTGACTGGTAGCATTGACCGACAAACATAAGTAGACTTCTCGTCCCATTGTAAATTTTGAAGCTCATTTTTTGTGTCTAGTTCATAATTGGTGACACTGATCGCTAGAGTCAACAAAATTTTGTTTCTATTATTTAAGTGTTACCTAATTTTATTATTTGCGCTTTATTGTTTGGTTAGGGGGTGAGTTATTGTTTGGGATTAGATTGTTTTATTTGGTAAAACAAGGCTTTGAATTACTGGGAAAAAAACAAGAAACAAATTATAAACTAAAAACTACCTCTACAAAGGACTGGACAGAACTCACAAAAAATTGTCTTTAGCTGATCCAGAAGGATGAGAAATCTAAGGGAGTATGTTTTAATGCTTGTAGTTTTGGTCACCTGACCTAATCTAGTTACAGCAAGATCAGATAAATGGAAATGTCGCTGAATCTTAAAAAAAAGTAGAAAATCATACTCAACCATTGAAAACTGTCAAAATATAGATATAAAATTAAAATATTATGTCATAGAGATATTTTATTTCAAAAAGATATGCTATTTATTTGGACAAAAGGGGTTAGTAGCTTTTTGCTTTTGCCCTGTTTAACATGTTCCGGCTTCCAAAACCTTTGCAAAAACAAAGAGTAATTCTAGCAAGAGTACATATTTAAAAAAATTATTGTTAAGTTTGTGTAATAGTTAGAACTATGCAAGGATCCTAACAATTAATAGGTAATTGCTAGTCATGATCAAAAAGAATTATCAGCGACCTGGCTGAAGAGCTGATAAGCAACCATTAATTTGGCGAGTTGCTGTAATATTTCATCTAGGTTCATTGGGCAAGTAGGGTACACAATCTTCGAAAAAAGACGGAAAATATATAAATATGCTTTGTGTTTCAAATTATATGATTCTCTAGCTTTGATGTTCTTATCATCAGTTTACAAGCATTACATTTTTTAATTGAAAATAATGGCATTGAAAAAAAATTCAAACTCATTACTGGACGAAATAATTGTTCCCTTCAATCATACATTTAAGTTAGATTAAATTAAATCACACCAAAGTCTTCACAAATGGAATTTTATATCATGTTCTTAACAAATGAGATCAACAGGCTGATTATTTAAACACTACACATAATTGCCTTAGATTACTAGGGCAAGATGAAGACATCTTGGTACTTTACAATATTGAAGATAAAATTAAACAACACATAAAATATACCTGTAAAACAATTATGGGCATTTATATACCAGGTTATAAATGTGTGGTATTCTATAAAGAACAAATAATGAATGATATTGTAAAATTAAATGATGACAGTCAGCACAGCATATTCATTCAAATATTTGACCTAGACCCAGAAAATAATATATAGGCTAATAAGTTTTCTTCGTACATAAAGCCTAACAAAAGTGACTTGATTTTTCTTTTGATATTCTAGGTATGTACGGTACTATTAAAATATTCTCTTATTTAAAAAAAGGACATTTTACTCCTTCCATTTGATTTTTTTATGCATGGGAAAACAATAATAAATAACCAAATAAATATGACAGATTCTAGCCTACATAAAAATTAACTGTTGGTAAAAACTGTAAGAAAATTATAATCTGCATTGGACGTAGGAAGTGTATAAAAAAGTTTTTTATTTATAATAAGAATAAGAATGTATATTATATACAGGGTGACAAAAAAGTCTGGAAACGGCTTAATATCTTTTTAACTAAATCCGTTAGAAAACTCAAAACTTTCACATAAGCTTACATGTATGAAAACTAATTTTTGCAAGCATTACCATTTTTTTACCATCACCAGGGGACGGCCCATGAGGAGTAGGTACATAATCTTTAATGTAAGCATAGGTTGATATGCACATCATTTTAAAGATCTGGTCAAGTGGAGTTCATTGTCGGAAACCGCGTATCAAAAGGTTCATCTGTTACAAAATGGCGGCAGTCTAAAGTTCTTGCGAAAAATACCTGCACAGGCCTTAGTATTGGTAAATACTCGTACTAAACATTAGCTTGAGAGCTGAAATTGTATTTAAAGTCAACTAGCTCATATACTAAGTTTATTCGATCTTCAAATCAAATTTATCCGGGTTTCAGATTTCCCGGCTAATGTTGACTATGAGTATTTACCAATACTAAGGCCTTTGCAGGTATATTCCGCAATAGTTTGGACTGCCGCAATTTTGTAACGGATCAACCTTTTTTGACGCGGTTTCCGGCAATGAGCTCCACTTGACCAGACCTTTAAAATGATGTGCATATCAACCTATGTACCTACTCCTCATGGGCCGTCCCCTGGTGAAGGTAAAAAAATGGCAATGCTTGCAAAAAGTAGTATTCATAGATATAAGCTGATGTGAAAGGTTTGAATTTTCTAACGAATTTAGTTAAAAAGATATCAAGCCATTTCCAGACTTTTTTGTCACCTTGTATATTGAAATGTTCTAAAAAAGGGATTTTTAGGAGAGAAGCTACAAAATCACTATTTTTTACAACTTTTTTGTGGACTCCTAGTTTGTGTTTTCCTGCATTTTTTCAATATATTTACTTTTAACCGATGTGGTGTTTTACTGTCCTCAACTTTAACCTTTTTTTCGTTAGCAGTTATTTCACTTTCTCGATTTGTATTTTTCTTTGGTCTCCCTCTTTTTCGCTTGACTTCTGACTCTTTCTTCTGACTATCTTCAACTACAGTTGCGTCTAATTTTGGGGGCGAGTCATCTCCTTTATTAGAAATATTGGTTTCAACTTCAATAAATTTTGCCTTTTCAGTAGCGTCTTCATAAAACAGTAAATTTTCCTCTTCTTTAGTTCTGGGGGTTGCTATAACACTTCTTGTTCCTTTACTAGGTATAGTTTCTTCTGACGCTAATAATATTGTTTTGTTACTTTGTTTACTTGACGATTTGTTACTTTTTTTACTTGGCAATTTGTCTGTAATCTTTCTCGTGTTTTTACGACGCTCAGTTACATCTTTTGTTTTAGATAGGTTCTTTTCTTCTTGCTCAAAATGTTGACTTCTTTCGGTGGGTGGATTCAGTTTCTTTTTCTTGTGCCATCCCCAAAGGTAAGTAGCCTTTTCATCAGATTTTGACTTTTCTTTTTTAGGCTCTGGAAAGTGTACCTCATCAAAGAAGTTGATAATAACGGCATGGATATGTTTACACATTGTTTTATCAAAAGCATACAACCTACAAGAACAACTAAACTTGTGAGCACAAGTACTACATCTATTGCAAAACAACACACATGGTTGGGAGTTACAACTGTTTTCTTGTTGTTTAGTTACAATAGAGAAAATCTTTTCAGGATCCTTGGTAGAGCTGACACGCCAAGATAACTCTGACTCTTTAGAAATCGCTTTTGGATTGATTTGCAAAGCAAGTATATGATGGTTTGGTAACTCTTGTACTTGTTTTTGAATTTTCACTTGACGATGACATTGATTATCATTAAATAATTTAAGCAAATCCTGCACAGTACTAACAACGAACCTTTTATCAAGGCCCAATTGTTTCCTATCGATGATATCTTCTATTTCATCACTAAGACGTTCCATGTTTAACTGGGCGTGAACAGCAATGCTCTTTTTCCCATAACACCCTGCCCAAACAGCTTCAGATCCTAAGTATTTTAGTGCAAAGTGGTTACCAAATTGAAATGTCAATGGGTTTGTTAAAAGTTCAAAATCAACAAAGTCTTTGAGATCCCTAAAGGACATCTCTTCTGGGGATTCTAAATAGGAATAGAGTCGTTCATAAACAGATTCCTGAATCTCTTCATTAGGTATGTTGACCAAGTTATCCCTCCAATCTTTGTCAACAAAACGATTACTCCACAGATGACATGGTTCTTCCCCAGAATCACTTGTGAAAACAACATTCCAGGCTTCAAAAATCTCTTTTCGGTCATCAGTTAGCACAGCTTTGGCTTCAAGTTCAGGTACATTTGTTTTCACACATGCAAAAAACAGCTTGAATTTCTCCATGCTAAGATTAGTCGAAACCACAAAAGCTATGGGTATAGCATCATTATGACTATCAGCAACAATCAATGTAGCAAGATGAATATCATGTGTATTTTTAGTTTTGTTAGGCCTACTGTATACAACGTATTTGTCATCCTTTGTGGTATAAGTGGGAATGTAAAATATCTTTGACTGTCCGTATTTCTTTGCCATTTCAATCTGTCCTACTGTCATTAGGACAAGAGTGAAGTCGTAGTCTGCAGAATTATTAGAAGCCTGTTCCTCAAAGTGTACAACTGGAGTGTGATCCGATTCACTCATTAGTGACACCCAGCTGTTAATGTTGCTGCAAGTACAGTTTGTTGGAATACCGCTGGTACTCTTAGGTTTCGCCCTATATGACTTTTCAATGTTTTTAACATCCTTGAGGGTAATTAAATTGATTCTTTCAACTTGCGAGCTAGTTGATGACCGAATGTTATCAAGGATTACATCACGAGGGAGACCTTTAGCCAACTGTTCAACAATGTTAATCTTGTCAGTTTTTGTGAGTCGCAGTCTTTGGAGGTCGTTGTCATGACCGTAGTGTGTGGCACACACCTTCACTTCCACTTCACCGTTTGCCTTCTCTATACATGTGATTGAAGCTGTGCAGTGGTGATTTGACTTGGTAGTAAATCTCTTCTTGCCGTTTTGTTTCTCTATACTTGTTCGACAAATTGGCGTACCAGATCTACTGCAGTAGAAATATACAACTCGAACTCCCTCTTCTCTTGGTCTTGATCCAGATTTCTTAACAAATCGAGTGTTTTCTTGTTTTTCAAATTCTTCTTTCCACCGCAGGAACTCTAAAAAAATACATTTTTAAGTAAAATACTTACTTGACAATTCTTAAAATTCTCTTATTTTATACTTGGTTTCCGTTTAAGGAAAGACTGTAGACCAGGACTGATTTCTAGAATGAAAGGACAGCAGCTAGCTTACCTAAATGATGATCAGGTAGGTAACATAGTGCTATGTATATTATAGCCTACTAGACTTTTTCTTAAGTAAGCCAGCTAACCCTTTATAAAAAAAATCATAATAGAATACCCTTACATCGCTATTTTAAGACAGCAACACACCATTGTGTTCAAGATAAAGCTATATTAACGATATAGCTCATCTTGCTCATATTAAGGCTATAATTGTGTCCGAGATCAATTTAAATAAATATCTTAGTGTCCAAATATATATATATATACTAGAGAACCCGTGCGGCTCAATGAGCCGCATAGTATGAAACATAACGCCGAGGAAGACATAAGCAAGAGGAAGTTATGCTTAAATTACGGTAGGTAACTGCAATAAACATAGTATTTCTACAAGTTCTGGACATCACGGTACACTCCTAAAAAAGTAGTACTTGCACCACGTCCAATAGCTCAGCGCTGTCCCACGACAACACAATGTGAGTACTGTTGTACCATCTGTAGTGCATAATAACCTAACATAACCCAACTAAACCTAATCCTTACCTTGCTCCGTATGCAGGAGCTCTGGTCCTCATGCAACACCCCTTAGCTATTGGAGGTTTTAGCAATTTTCCCTATAGGGAAGTAGCTATTACCGTAGGTCTCATGGTAAGACCTAGGCCCGGGACCGATTTACTTTTCCATTTTGATGTCCCCAGAGGCCAAAAACACCATTCGTTCAAATTTTTATATATGTATATATACAGGGTGGCTGAAAAGTAACTACCACCCCCCCTTAACTTTTTAACCATTTGAGATATTTGAAATCCGTTTGCGGCAAACTTCTAAGATGTGAGGGGCTACAATAGTTATGGTAAATTTTGAAAATTTTACCCTTAGGGGTAGCGGGGGTAGGGGGTAGCTCAAAATTTTCAAATAGCAAGTATAGTCGAGTTTGGTATCGTTTTATAGGTCTTGACAAAACAAAACAGACGACGTAAAGAAAACTAAAATCGGCCCACTAATAACAAAATGGCGCCCTAAAACAATTCAAATCCAATCATCCATGATAATGAAAATTTTCGTTAAAAAGTCTTTTAAGAAATGGTAGAAAAAATTACCTTTTATTTGATGAGATGCTCGAATTGCTTTCCCTGTACCTCCATGCAGTAGTACAATCTCTGTTGAAACATGTTCCTTACATTTTGGAAAGTTTGATTGTTTATTTTTCTGCATTCTGTTTCTATCCGTAGTCTTAATTCTTCGAGGGACCTTGGCTGTGAGGTATAAACCGTTGACTTTAAATGTCAACGGAAAAATCTAATGGAAAAAAATCTAATGGAAAAAAATCCCCATAGAAAAAAATCTAATGGATTTAGGTCCGGTGATTGGGCTGGCCATTCAATACTACCTCTTCGACCAATCCAATGATTAGGAAATTCAATGTTCAGTGTATCCTTTGCATCCCTAGCATAATGTGGAGGAGCTCCATCTTGTTGAAAATACACGTTATCTCTATTGAAAATTGGGTTTCCATCTGGTGTTGCAGTTGTTTCTATTAAGTTGTTAATAGCTGGAATTATTTGTGTGATTAGCATGTTATTGTATGCTGTGCCATTTAAATTACCATTTATGATAAAAGGACCTATGATGAAGTTACCAATGATTCCAGCCCAAACGTTTAGCCTCTGCGGGTGTTGAGTGTGACTTTCTCGGTACCAGTGGGGGTTCTCTTGCGCCCAATACCTACAGTTATGCCGGTTAACGTGTCCGTTAAGTTGGAATGAAGCCTCGTCACTAAAAACTATTTCGAAAGTAGAGATTTCTCTAGATTCCAACTTCTGTGTCATTAATTCACAAAATTCAATTCTTCTATCAAAGTCATCTTCAGACAGTTCCTGGACTAACGTGATCTTATATGGATGGAATTTGTGGTTTTTTAAAACTTTGTTCACTGCCCACCTACTTATATTATGTTGTTGCGCAACTCTTCTTGCAGATTGCTGAGGATTAACAGAAAACTCTGCTAAAACTCCTGCTTCTGTTAATTCACCTGTGCTGGGCCGACCGGATCTGGGCTCATCCACAACACTCCCTGTACGATGAAACTTTTTTACTAGATTAGACACAGCTTTTCTAGTGATTTGATGTTCAGGATGCCTTTCGTTAAAGGCGTCAGTTGCTCCACTGTAAGTGCCAGTTTGCCCAAACAGTAAAACAATTTGCACTCTTTCTTCTAACGAAAAAAACATGACAAATTACAAACCAACATACAACAATCAAAAAGTAGCAATAGTGTAGGCCTGCAGTTTGGTTATGTACGATATGGGCAGTTCTCAGTACTGTACTACTGAACTTTCACCTAGAGAAAGAATTCGACAAACAAACAAAAAAGGAAAATGGACAGAAATAACTGATAACAGCAATTATGGAGTTTGGGATTTTCCAGGCACTGTTTACTGACCACGCATCTTATTAGCAATGATCCGAAATAGAAAAAAACTTTGGCTGGATACAAATTGAAAGAAATTAAAATTAGCCTTTTTTACCACCAAATTGCAATTTTCTGATAAGGATGTCATTTATTAAAAGTATTTTTTAGCTGCCATTTCGTTATTATCTGGCCGATTTTAGTTTTCTTTACGTTGATTGTTTTGTTTTGTCAAGACCTATAAAACGATACCAAACTCGACTATACTTGCTATTTGAAAATTTTGAGCTACCCCCTACCCCCGCTGAAGGGTAAAATTTTCAAAATTTACCATAACTATTGTAGCCCCTCACATCTTAGAAGTTTGCCGCAAACAGATTTCAAATATCTCAAATGGTTGAAAAGTTAAGGGGGGGTGCAAGTTACTTTTCAGCCCTCCTCATGGTTCTGTAGATTTAAATTGTTTTAGGGCGCCATTTTGTTATTAGTAGGCCGATTTTAGTTTTTTTTACGTCGATTGTTTTGTTTCGCCAATACCTATAAAATGATACCAAACTCGACTATACTTGCCATTTGAAAATTTTGAGCTACCCCCTACCCCCGCTACCCCTAAGGGTAAAATGTTCAAAATTTACCATAACTATTGTAGCCCCTCACATCTTAGAAGTTTGCCGCAAACGGATTTCAAATATCTCAAATGGTTGAAAAGTTAAGGGGGGGTGGTAGTTACTTTTCAGCCACCCTGTATATCTATATACAGAGATTTTATATATATATATACTAGCTGTAACCCGCGGGCTTTGCCCCGTTTAACTTCTTAATTTTCAAGATGATCTCGTTCGCATGGCTCAATCACGTCCTGGTTGAAGTTCGTTCGCTACGCTCACTCACCTTTAGGTTGGAGCTCGTTCGCTACGCTCACTCACCTTTAGGTTGGAGCTCGTTCGCTGCGCTCACTTGCCTTCAGGTTAGCTCGTTCGCTACGCTCACTTGCCTTCAGGTTAGCTCGTTCGCTACGCTCACTCACCTTTTTGGTTGCAAATTAGCTGTTGTCATAAATGTAAAAGAAATAATAGTGCTGCACCCTGTTGGTAATCCTTGTAACTTTAATGCTATTGAACATCATAGAACAGAACCAACTTGTTTAATTGAAACAGCTGTTAAGATTCATTAATTCCATTTCTCATAAGGTTAACATGGGAAACTCCAGAGCCACTGGGGCGGAGCCTATTGGACGGATCACGAAATTGATGGTGTATAAACCTATTCCATGACATTCTACACGTATGTACCAAGTTTCGTGGCAATCGGTTCAGCGGTGTCCGAGTTTATCACCCCCAAACAAACAAACAAACAAATATATATACAAACATCCTCTTTTATAGATATAGATAGATATGTGTCCATCCGCACGATAACTTGAGTAACTTTTGACCGATTTTGATAAAATTTGGTATGAAGGTGTAAGGCGGGATAAACTTGAACGAGTTCGCGAACCAGCATGATCGGACTATGGGAACGGGGGTTAATGGGGGGTTTTATGGGGTAAAAATAGGTTTTTCCCATTTTTCACCTAAAAAACATAAAATTTAGCCATTTCTTTTCAAACCATTTTGTAGAGCTTAAAAAAACAAATAATTTAGAATATTGAAGTGTTATTATGCGCCTAATGGTTACGGAGAAAATTAAAAAAAAATTTTATTTTAAATTCCTATGTTATTCTTATGGAGAACAAGTAAACTGTTGTAGTTTGCTTGTTTATGAACACATTTTGATCAAATTTGGAAAATATTTTTATTTCTTACTAACTATTAACATTTTACAAAAAAAAAAACAAATAACAGTTTTACCCTCCCTGATGCAGCAAACCTAAGTACTTGTTAAACTATTTTTATTTAAATCGGAAATAAATGTTATATTTTTAAGTAGAAATTTAATGTAAATCCAATCAGGCAAATGGAAATTTGCTTAGTCTGCAGGTTTGCTGCGGCGGGGGTATTTTTTTTAACAGAGGGCCAGGCTTACAAGTCACCACGGGATTGCATCGCAGCTAGAACAGCTTATTGTGCACTTAGAGGAAATCGTGTTATTATTCCATTTAAGCTACAACCGAAAATTCTCCAAGAATTACATTCAACTCATGTAGGAATAGTGCGGATGAAGAGTCTAGCAAGAAACTACTGCTACTGGAAAAATATTGATACATATATTGAGAGTATGGTAGCAAGTTGTAAGGCATGTTGTGAGAATTAGAAAAATCCAGAGAAGGCTCTTTCCTACCCATGTTTGGGAAATACCAAAACGCAATTGGCAGCGAGTCCACATAGATTATGCAGGACCTTTTCTACATCACAACTTCTTGATTGTTGTAGATGCTAGGTCAAAGTGGCCAGAAATATATCTAATGAAAAGTGCACCAACAACTGCCACTACTATTCATCACCTCAGAGAAATATTCAGTCACCATGGCCTACCAGAAATATTGGTCAGTGACAATGCTACAATTTTCAAATCAGCAGAGTTTCAAGCATTCTGCAAACGCCAAGGAATAAAAGACAACGATTCATTGCACCAGGAAACCCATCTACAAATGGCTAAGCGGAAAAATTTGGCCAAACACTCAAGACAAAACTGAGGTGCATGCAGTTTGAACCGGGCACTCTACATGAAAAACTATGTGCACTATTATTTCGGTACCGAGCTACACCACTGAGTACTGGTGCATCCCCAGCACAATTAATGTTTGGCAGGAACTTGAGAACAAAGCTAGATCTCTTAAGGCTTAGTGAAAATGACAAAAATGAGGTTTAACAACCAATATTTAACAAACATTACAATATTGGCGAGAGATTTCATTTAAGAAATTATGCAGGATCAAATCTGTGGAAATTTGGAACTGTGGTGGAAAGACTAGGGCGACTTCACTACCTTGTAGAACAGGATAAAGGGTATGTAATCAAACGGCACTTCAATCAACTTCGAGCTTGTGAAGTGCCAAAAGATTATATTTCTTACAAAACCATTCTACGTAGCTTTCATTGCCCCAAACAAGGCAAGGAAGTCCAAACAGCCGATGTGACCCAATAGCCAAAGTACCACCTAGGCAAACACATCGAACTTTCATATTCCGAAACACCAATCAAAGTTGCTCAAGACAACTGCCATTCATGGGAGAATCAAGATATGGCATGTTAAGTAAATTGATAGGCAATTCAGAAAGTTCACATGATACTGAAAATTTCATAAGTAGCACTTCAAGTGGGGAAGGTACTGCAGTCTCTACAACATCGAGTCCTACAATGACCTTTATGCTTAATACTGAGACAAAAAGTCCAATACATAACGAGGAAGTATCAAAAACAAGCAGCCAGCAAGAGGCACAGGAGCCGAGTACAAGCAGCCAACAAGAGGCCCAGGAGCTGAGTACCAGCAGACAACAAGAGGCCCAGGAGCCGAGTACCAGCAGACAACAAGAGGCACAGGAGCCGAGTACAAGCAGCCAACAAGAGGCACAGGAGCCGAGTACAAGCAGCCAACAAGAGGCCCAGGAGCCGAGTACCAGCAGACAACAAGAGGCCCAGGAGCCAATTACAAGCAGCCAGCAAGAGTCACAGGAGCCGAGTACCAGCAGCCAACAAGAGGCCCAGGAGCCGAGTACCAGCAGACAACAAGAGGCCCAGGAGCCGAGTACCAGCAGACAACAAGAGGCCCAGGAGCCAATTACAAGCAGCCAGCAAGAGTCACAGGAGCCGAGTACCAGCAGCCAACAAGAGGCCCAGGAGCCGAGTACCAGCAGACAACAAGAGGCCCAGGAGCCGAGTACCAGCAGACAACAAGAGGCCCAGGAGCCAATTACAAGCAGCCAGCAAGAGGCACAGGAGCCGAGTACAAGCAGACAACAAGAGGCCCAGGAGCCGAGTACCAGCAGACAACAAGAGGCCCAGGAGCCAATTACAAGCAGCCAACAAGAGGCCCAGGAGCCGAGTACCAGCAGCCAACAAGAGGCCCAGGAGCCGAGTATAAGCAGCCAGCAAGAGGCCCAGGAGCCGAGTACAAGCAGCCAACAAGAGGCCCAGGAGCCGAGTACCAGCAGCCAACAAGAGGCACAGGAGCCGAGTACAAGCAGCCAACAAGAGGCCCAGGAGCCGAGTACAAGCAGCCAACAAGAGGCCCAGGAGCCGAGTACCAGCAGACAACAAGAGGCCCAGGAGCCGAGTACCAGCAGACAACAAGAGGCCTGGAGCCGAGTACCAGCAGACAACAAGAGGCCTAGGAGCCGAGTGCCAGCAGACAACAAGAGGCCCAGGAGCCGAGTACAAGCAGACAACAAGAGGCCCAGGAGCCGAGTACCAGCAGACAACAAGAGGCCCAGGAGCCGAGTACAAGCAGACAACAAGAGGCCCAGGAGCCGAGTACCAGCAGACAACAAGAGGCCCAGGAGCCGAGTACAAGCAGACAACAAGAGGCCCAGGAGCCAATTACAAGCAGCCAGCAAGAGTCACAGGAGCCGAGTACCAGCAGCCAACAAGAGGCCCAGGAGCCGAGTACCAGCAGACAACAAGAGGCCCAGGAGCCGAGTACCAGCAGACAACAAGAGGCCCAGGAGCCAATTACAAGCAGCCAGCAAGAGTCACAGGAGCCGAGTACCAGCAGCCAACAAGAGGCCCAGGAGCCGAGTACCAGCAGACAACAAGAGGCCCAGGAGCCGAGTACCAGCAGACAACAAGAGGCCCAGGAGCCGAGTACCAGCAGACAACAAGAGGCCTAGGAGCCGAGTACCAGCAGACAACAAGAGGCCTGGAGCCGAGTACCAGCAGACAACAAGAGGCCCAGGAGCCGAGTACCAGCAGACAACAAGAGGCCCAGGAGCCGAGTACCAGCAGACAACAAGAGGCACAGGAGCCGAGTACCAGCAGACAACAAGAGGCCTGGAGCCGAGTACAAGCAGACAACAAGAGGCCCAGGAGCCGAGTACAAGCAGACAACAAGAGGCCCAGGAGCCGAGTACCAGCAGACAACAAGAGGCCCAGGAGCCGAGTACAAGCAGACAACAAGAGGCCCAGGAGCCGAGTACCAGCAGACAACAAGAGGCCCAGGAGCCGAGTACCAGCAGACAACAAGAGGCCCAGGAGCCGAGTACCAGCAGACAACAAGAGGCACAGGAGCCGAGTACCAGCAGACAACAAGAGGCCATTGTCTGCAATATAGTAGAACCCCTCGTATCCGACCTCTGCATAACCGACTCTTCAGGTTATCCAACCTAGTGACCGACCGCCAACTTGTTTCCTGCTTGGAGCGATAACGCAAGGCACGTTCCGTTAACCGAATGGCTGATCGCCGGTGTTGCAATAATGACCGCTATAGCCGAGGCTGCAAAATGTGCTTACAGGTGCTGTGGTCATGTGAGATGATTAAATTATGCTTACGGGTGTCGCTGCGGTTACGCTGCGGATTAGCACCGCAAGGTATGCTCATGTGTGTGGCCTTGGTTACGGGAGACTTAGTCACCGAGACAGCAAATTATGCTCCTTCCGATATTCGATCTTTTGCCCATTACCACCATGGCCCAGTCCTTCACAGTCGGATATGAGGGGTTCTCTGTATGTCACTTCAGGAAGTATTATTTGGCTAAGGAAAGTAGACATTAAGCTTACCACTAAAGCTGTTAAAATAGTTGACCCTGATGTCCATGCTAAGTCCATGCTCTTCTACTAGATGGAGTTGTAGTTTTTCTTTGTAGCTACATCTGAATGAACAGCCTTTTTCCAAACAGCGTATATTGGTTTTCTCACCATGGTTTATGTTGTGTATTTTTTTCATGTGGTTATATCTTCCCGCATTTTGATTAAACTTCTTGCCACAGATCAAACACACAAATAGTTTTGTTTTACTGAAATGAACATTTTGCTTTAATTACCATGAAGTGTAACCTACAATGTTTATAGGCCTACTGTCAAGAGTCAAGAGATGTATTGTTCTAAGAACACAAATATTACAGTGCATAAGACCTTGTCAAGTATAATTATTAAAATAATAAAATTAAATATCACAGATTTTGAAATGTTAATACTGTACTCTTATATTTTAATTCAAAAACAGGCCAACAGGTCAGCAATACTATACTGTTATTACATAAAAAACAAACCATATAAAAAAAACACAGGTAACAATACCTGTCATTAAAAAACTAGACGCTTATATTTTACACACTTTTTGTTCTATTAGTTCATTAACAAAAGAACTTTGTAGGTAGACTATGTTCGATTAACACATTTTTGACAGTACATAGTTAATACACATCATTAAATATCCTCCTATTCACATACCGGTACCGGTAGTTAACTTATTTGTATTATTAGTATGGTATATAGCCTAGAATATATATCATACTAATAATATGGATATATACTGTTAGGTAGGTACTGTTAAAAATTACAGCAATCTATTTTAAAACTACTAGACGAGTCACTTAACGGATCCCGTCAATCACCATTAATCATAGAAGGCAGCAATAAAAATGCCATGGGACCTAAAATAATATTTTAATCTTCATTTAGTTTAATAAGAAAAATAATTTATAAATAAAAAACTTGTTTGAAACAAAACGTAATTGTAAATAAAAATAATTTATAATTATGTGGAGAGTATAATTATATATAGTATAATATTACTTGTACGATTTAAAATTAAAAAACGTGGGGTGCATGCAATAGATAATACAATTTCACCTATTGAACTAATGTATTATTATCAATTGCAAGCACCCCACGTTTTTTTGTTTTAAATCGTACAAGTATTTATACTCTCCACATAATTATAAATTATTTTCTACTCTTTAGTGTGTTTAAAAATGTTTTGTTTTAAAAAAGTTTTTTATTTATCAATTATTTTCTACTTTTTAGTTTTTAATGTGTGTGGATGTTAAATCTATTTCAAGCATCTAGGCCCTATTACATTTTACATTTACATTTACATTTATTGTTGTCATGAGAGCCGAAGCCCCCTGACTGCATACCCGGTACCTATCCTTTAGGACATACCCGGGCCCCATGATGTAGGCCGAAGCTTACGCATCAACCTTTAGCACATCATGGGCGGATGACTTAAGGTCATCAGGCTCGCCGGCTGCCGAAGCAGACCCTTCGGAAGGAGGGTTGCCCCTCAATCCTAACCAGGGATTCCGGCTGCTTGTTTAAGCGTCACTCCACCTGGGTTCCACTAGGTCGGGACCTAGAGGTCCATGGTAGAGCGCCCCGACGCATTTAGTGCAAGCAACACTCGGGACCTATCTAATCCCTGACAGGCAGAACCCGCCATCAATAGCCAGGAGGAAGGGGACCATCAGCACGCTGACGGGGGGAACCCCAACCTCCCATTTACACCGCTGCCCGATCGAGGCCTTACCCATTGCTGGGAAACCAGAGATAACCAGAGCGATAGATCCCCAGATACCCCTGGCGGGCTCGGACCCAGCACCCGATCTACTTCGTTTGCCCGTCAGACCCAACATCACTGCCAGGCCATCAGGGTTTCCCAAAAGGAGGCAGGTATAGAAGTGGGACCCACCCGGATGAACCTATCCACCAGAGGTGGCGACACCCTTGACTCAATTGAGGTTCCGGGAAGAACCCCCCACACTCAAGATAACCATACCGTCCGTGCTCAGAGACAGGGATTGGTTTGCAGAAGTACCTACAAACCGTTGCCCTCACACTGCGGAAAGTTACGTTGCCCTTGAGTGTCCCCGTGAGCTGCGGGTACTTGCCCGTTTTCACCTCCAGGAAAGGTTACTTCCAAAGTCGAGGATTTGCCCACTGAATGCTGGTCGCACACAACAAGCAGGCCGAAGCCCAAAGTACCACAGACACAGGTAGGTTAGAGATTATGATGTACTTCCATCTCTCCTAGAGCTAAACACCCCTCCATCCTGGATAAAGGAATGTCACTGGGACCCAATGCCCAGTCGTCCATGTCTGTGGCCAACTTGAAAATGCCGATACCAACACGGAGCATTTACCTCCCCTCTGGGGATCTAGGCCCTATATCAGATTAAGACAGAGGCATGTGGGAAATCAAAGGTTTATTTGAGTTTCTTTTCATATAATAATGTATTAGATTGAATGTATGGCCTACATACTAACTATACATAGGTATATCAATCTATTTAATTTATTGTTTACTTTTTAGAATACTAAATACATAACAATTTACATTATTAACAAACACCTTTATATTTGCAATCAGATTGTATGTCTTTATTTTGTAATTTTTGTTTGTATAAAGAATCTCTTGGGAGCATAACCTGTACCTCTTAACCTCTGCTCTTCGAACTGTCAAATTTAAGTATTTACAGCTGACTTAAATTGATATATGGGTCATTTTCAAATTAGATGCAAATTTTGATTTAAGTGTTGGTTAAATATGAACTTAGCTTTAAGTCCTTTATTCTTATAGTCAGAGCTTCCTTAAATAGGCTATTCATAAATACCATCCAATGCATTTTTTTCGAGTTTACTTTGTAATTTTCATTTTTTTATTTTTTTTGCAAATGAGGTACACTCAACATGTCATGAGTGCTACTTTAACAAAATATAATAAAATACTATCATAAATTTAAAAAAAAGTTAAAATATATACACCAATGTGTTATAAAACGACTTGTATTAAATCTTTTAATATTTAAAAAAAAAAATGTTAAATGTATTGAAGTAATTACAATTTTTTTGTCAGGAGTGTTACCCGTTAGCTAAAAAGCTAGATTATTTTTAAATTTTCTCAAGATTCAATACAAATGTTCTTACATATTTCTTTGTGGGTGCATCAAAGTCCCTTATACATAGAATTACACAATTTAATTTACAATTTAAAAAGTTTTACTACTGATTTTTGTATTATTTATGCAAAGTAACACTCATGACGGTAAGTAACACTCCTGAAATAGATTAAGGGGAATTGATTATTTAAAAGCCAGTTTACAGCATTAAACACAGTAGTTTATTCAGAGACAACAAAATATTATTTTGTAGTATTCTTAAGTTCTAAATTTTCATTGTAGCCTAATGTTTTGTTTAATTCTTAAGTTCTCTGTTTAAACTGTAATTAAACCTTATTAACGGTGTTTTATATAAAAATTAGTTCAGAGATATGAGATCCTTAATTTAAAAATTAAAATTGAACTTAAATCATTGGGGTATTAATATAAAAAAATCAGAATGTTTCAGGACTGTAAAGTTGCATCTGATTTGAAAATGACCCATATTTACATTCTTTCAAAATGTAAACATGAAAAATTTGGAAGCCCATGGGGTGTAGCCCAAGGGAAATATGAAAATGAAATGATATAATACTGTATTGCATTGTCATCCATTTGTGAGCTATGTTTCAAATTTCAAGTCTCTACCTCATCGGGAACTTCGTTTAAAATTGATATCAAAATTTGTAGGAAAGTGAGCTAATAAAAAGAAGCTCATGGGGCGTAGCCCAAGGTAAATATGAAAATTAAATGATATAATATTGCATTGTCATCCATTTGTGAGCTATGTTTCAAGTCTATAGCTCATCGGGATGTTAGTATAAAATTGATTGCAAAATTTGTACCGGACAAGAAAGCGAGCTAATAAAAACGTTTTAAAAAAGGAGTTCTATGTCAAAGAATTAAAATAAGAATAACGCTGAAAACAAACTTTATTTTAAGAACAAACTAAAACTTAAATTATTTTCAATTGTTTCAATTTATGGGTAGGTACCGGTAGGTATGGTGTGCTACGATCAATAATCATAGGCTACCATATGTTTTCATTCATAGATTCATAGCCTATTTAATGTAGGTACAAACAAAAGTTAGGAAGAAACTAACATTATGCTACAATTAATTGTTTCAAAAAATTTAGGCGGTTTTTGGAGAGTTTTCCCCAACCACTTTTTTTCTTAAATTGCAGCTGATTGATGGATGATGAATAAATGTTTGTATCTAACAGCTAATTAAAACCTGAAATGTTGAGCTATTGATTTGAAGGTTGGGTAAAGTGAGTGAATGGGTACTTAGATTTCTTCCCCTAAAACCACCATAAATTTTTAAACAGAGTAAAACCCAAACTCATGATAAAAAATTGCAACAAACAATACAATAAATAATAATGCTATAAACTATTAGCAGCATATAAGTTAATAATAATAATTTCCATTGTTATGAAATTAATTTAGAGTACCTACCTACTAAGGTATTTATGATTTGTTTATTTGTTGACAGAATACCCTTTTCACAAGTACCGGTAGCTAACTTAAGTTGCATTTAGGCTAATTACCATAGGTTAAATTTCAATAATGACAACAAGATAGAACTTTTTTGTCCTAGGACGCTAGACACAAGCCTAGAATTGTTTTTCATATTACTTAATTCAGGCTAGACCTAGGGGTTATGGCATTATCACTTAGATAAAATCCATTGGTGATTTGGTGGGATTTGAACCCGGGACCCCAGGAACCGGGGTCCCGCGCTCCAACCAGGGGTCTTTGGGGACCAGCTCGCTCCCCAAGATAGAACATTAAGTTAAATGTGCATAACTTCTTAACCCTCCAAGTGTCCATAGTAATGGTCTTAATGTCCGCCCATTTATCGCGAAATCGCAGGGTTTTATTAAAATGTATCTTAGAAACTTAAAAACACTCTAAAGTATACTGTTTTATTTATCATTTTGTTTTTAGAAAACTATGGGCTTTAATGTAATACCTATATAAAACATTAGCCTACAAAAAAAATTTTCAACAATTTTTGTGGGGTTAACATTTCTCAAAAATTATAAAATAAATGAAAAAAAAATTATGTTTGCGAATAAATTTATAATAATTTTTGGTCTACAAATATTTCAAAATAGCCACTTTGTTCTAAATTTTGTGAGGATTCCAAAAATATAACAATATACGGAAGTAGGTTTGTAAATAAATAAGTAATGGGCAGGCACGGCCCTAGGGACCTTGCCGCCCTGGGCAAGATCGGCGACCGTCGCCCACCATATGGGGGGTATGGAATACTACCCAGCAAGAAAGGGGGTTCCAAAATTTGAGAAAAATAATTTCTCTAAACACTATTTTTAAGCGTTTAGGAAGTGAAATCTGGTGTTAATACTTAGTAGGTACAATTTTATGCAATTTTGTACTTATGTAATTAAACTTTTTGCTTTAATTGCATGTGGACTAGTTTTTATTGAATTTATTTTTTAAGTACTTAGGCTAGGCTTTTTGTTATATGATAAATTTTTTGACCCATTTTAGGTTGAAGGGGGGGATATATCCCCCTGACACCCCCCCCCCCCCCCCCGTATCTACACCACTGTCCCGCCTAATTGTCCTCCTGGGCTCCATCCCTTCCTTGACCGATCGCCGAATTATGGTGTCTCCCTGAACTCTTAATTATGTACCAAGGGTTCTAAGTGTAAATTGGACATTTTTAAATTATTTTCATTTCATAAGCTGGTTTATGTTTACAGTTGCAGATAGGCCTATCAATTATTTTTTGGTTTTTGTTTAAAATCTGACCTAAGAGTCGGCAGGACTTTCGGCCATCTTGGATTTCCCCAAAACGGCAATGTTATTAATTGTTGAAGCAAATTACGACATTGCTTATTAAAATAAAAAGTAGCAAAATATCTCATTTTTGCAACCCCTCTCTCTCGGAGGGAAGGGAAGCCCATGCTACCAAAATAACCAATAATAAAGTAAACACAACGTCGTGGGAGGGGGCAGAAACTAGAAAGAGAGAGAGAAATACGTCGAGGTCAATCCCAACCGCTGAAATGTTGCTTTGACACTGTCACTCGTCCTGGGTAACGTCGTAACGTGGTGGCGACGGTTGTTCGATACACAAGCCGAGTGGTTTGTTTTTATTTTTGGGCTTAAATTATAATTTTAAATCAATGTGTGAATTGCCGTTTATCTTCTTAGGCTTGTTCTTAGCGTAAAATGTAATATAGATAATTGTACTCTTCACATTCACTTAATGAATTTATGATTTTATTTGTATTAAAAATTTACTGTTCCCTAAAATTTGTTTGTTGCCCTGGCTCTGCCACCCCAGTTCCACCGCCCCGGCTCTGCCGTTCCGGCCCCACCGCCCCGGCCCCGCCGCCATGGGCGACCGCCCGGTCCGCCCACCCCTGGTTATGGGTGAAAAACAGATTTCGTACATTTAGCGTTAGCTAAGAATGCATAGCCTAACCATAGCTAGGAATCTGGCGGATCATTTACATCAATATTACTACATACATACTTCTTCAGGAGTATCAACCAGCCCTTCAAAATCACTTAACATCTTCTTATAATGCACCACTTATATCACTACTTTTTATTTTTAACACTAAAACAATGATAAACGTAATAAAACACATCAGTCATCGGTGCGAGGTTAACGAAGTTATTTATAAATACGCACGTCATCTGTCTGCTGTAATATTTTCGGAACTAAAATGAAAAGCGTCTAGAAACAGACATCGGGAGAAAGCTTAGGGCTGCACTTTACTTTAGGTCCTCGAATGAAACAATCGAATAGCCTAATCGATATTTTCATTCGAATGAGTGTAGGACCTAAAGTAAAGTGCAGCCAAGCTTAGAATCTGCCGAAAACAACGATACCAATCTCGATCCAGTTCAATCTGATTCAGTCAGTCCCAGAGCCTTTGCCGTAAACGATGTTTGTGTGTCGCTTAAGCGACGCATAACACCACGGCGGGTGTGTTGTGCGTCGATTACGCGACGCTTAACACTCAGAGGATTAACTGGGCATACTATTATACATAAGTTAAAAGTGAGGTGATAGCGCATGGTGAGCGGATGGAGAAATGGTGGTTGAAAGGTTGTTGCTTGTATCAAATGACTCAGTACAACCGACAGAGGGTTTTAAACAGCTTTATTTAGGTACCTAGTCCTTAGTACCTAGCCTATAGTCCTAAGTAAGTAAAGATAATTAAGTTGACTAGGTAATTTAGTCATAAACAAACTAATTGACTATTAAATTAACTATAAAACAACTTTGTCTGCTTACCTAAATACCACATCTCCATTGTTTGTATTCTCTTCTGAAGCCGGACTGATTTCATTATTAGATTCCACCTTTAAGCTGTCTGAACTGATTTCATTATTGCCTGAACTGATTTCATTATTAGACTCTACTTTTAAGCTGACTGAACTGATTTCATTATTAAATTCCTCCCTTAAGCTGTCTGGACTGATTTCGTTCTTAGATTCCTCCCTTAAGCTGTCTGAACTGATTTCTTTATTAGATTCCTCCCTTAAGCTGTCTGAACTGATTTCATTATTAGATTCCTCCCTTAAGCTGTCTGAACTGATTTCATTCTTAGATTCCTCCCTTAAGCTGTCTAAGTCAAGGTACAGTTTGCTGTTGCCTTCTTCACTACCAACCACCTCTAAAGGTTGAAATAGTTCACCAACTTCTCCATCATTTTCAACAGATTCCATGTTAAGTTGTAAGCTTCATAAATAAAAGATCAAAGATCTCACTTGACTAATTTATAAGGTTCGTCTGTGCAAAAAATGCGTTGGTAAATTTGCACAATTTATAGGCCGTCACACAAATAAAGTTACACTCCCAGATTATGTTAATTATTATTATGCGGTGCAGTATCCTAACTAATTATTATTTACATCTAATGTTTTTTCACAGATGTGAAACAGTCAGTTTTCACTAGGCTACTTGGTATTTACCAAATTACCATCACGCTGAAAGATGGGCCAGGAATAATACCGGTTAGAAATTAGAATATATGCTAAGAAACAACAATGCATCAATCACTGTTTCTTACATTATACCTTTAACTAAAACTTTATATTATACCTCCAAACAAAATTGAGATAAGTAGATCACTAGCACTAAGGGTGCGTTCACAAAGAAAGCTGGTTACAAGTAACTTACTTTCAGCACTTGTTCCAAGCGCTTGAGAATGCTGTTGTGTGTTCACAACAAACGCTTGCATTTCAAGCTCAGTGTAGTCTCAGCTTTGGTTGAGACAATATCTTCCTCAAGTGATAAAGAGTTATTTTTTTATTGAAAATGTAGAATTAAAAGGATGTAGAATTAGGAAGGTGTTCATGCAATTAACCGCGGAAGTTAATCACGTTTAATTACATCCTCAAGAAAATTTAATGTGTTTTAGTGAAGTTTTGGGGGGATTGGCAAAAGCAACCTATCCATGCACCAGAACGAATTTTGGGTCAATAATAAAACCTAAAAAATACTTGAAGGGAGTTTTAAACACCCTATGTAGCTGATTAATTATCATGCAAATAATATTGTGAGATATATTCAAATTTTTTAATTTTCTAGGTAAATAAAGTAAAAGTATACAAGTTTCATCTATAAAAAATCCAACACAACACTTAATTAATATTAAATTAAATGTGTTTGTCTATCGTATTAATACATATATGTTATATTTGTCCTATTGGTTACGTTATTGAACATTCTAGGGAAAACCCACAATATGTGGGTAGTATATTTTTTTGGAAATTGGAAGCTCTAAGAGCTATCAACTCATCGACATCCATACTGCACTACTGACTGGTTCGGTCAACAAGCGCCGGAAAACAAGTACGAAACGTTCTTGCGTGCTTGTCAGAACTTGTAACAAGCGCTTGCTAGCCGGCACAAGCTTTGTCTGTGAACACACACGCTTGATACTATGTTAACTTTTCTCACGCCGGTTCGAGCTTGTAAGCGCTTGCCAACAAGCGCTTGAAACCAGCTTTCTTTGTGAACGCACCCTAACGCCACTAACCACTAGCCAAAGCCAACAACGGACAAGAAGAGGGAATAATTGTAAACAGTAAACACTAAACAGAACTCGAACCAGAGCAGACCATAGGGTTGTTGGTCCAGGTTTGCCAATTCCCCCACCGAACCTGCCGAAAATACCCACTTTTACGCGTTTAATAGAATCAGATTAAATATTGTTTTTGTCAATGAGTATTAATTGTAAGATTTATTATAAAATATCGCAAAACAAGTTTGTAAGTTATTGGTTGATCTGGATTTCAAATAAAGTAAAATAGTGTACCAGAGAAAATTACAAATACATTCTGTTGTATATTCCTGTATCTCAAAATATCATATTCCCTGTGGTTTATAACGACTGTAAAGGGAAAATATAAAAAATAAAGTGCATAAGAGGGTCTAAAATATTTAAAATTACCTCAAACTTTTTTAAAGGATGCTGTGTAGGAACAAGTTATTTGAATTCACTGTTTATTTTACTTTTATGATAGTATACTAGATAAAGGATGCACAAAAACTTTTTTGCTTAAGAAATGAATCATCGTCATACAGTCGTATAAAAATGCTTACCTCCTTAATAGTAAATACAACCACGGCCGCATACAACTGTGAGTCATTGGTTAAAATTATGTTTTTAATCTAAACAGTTTCTACCCAGTGGCAGTTCTCTTGTCATGGGGGGGGGGGGCGAACGGTGGTTTTCGACGCTAGGAGGGTGGACCGGGGTCCCCCGGAAAATTTGCTATATGTAAAGCCGTTTTGTGAATTTTTTTGGCAATTTTTAACGTCTGCTGTGTCTAAAATCCACCTTAACGATTTTATGACCAAACTAGCTGTTTGCCCGTTCTACGTACACGGGAAAATTGTAGTAAGTTGAAACGGCTGGGTTCCATATTATCGACAACCGTAGAAATTGATCGAAAAACTGGGACCCCACGGTTGAAACCATATTCAGAACAGGAGTTGGTTTGCATATTAAGTGTGCAATTTTCCAGATATGCTGGCAAAACTATTACTGTATAGGAATACAAATAAACCTTCGCAAATGCAATATCTGACAGTTTATCAGTCAAGCATTCTGGGGGTAAAATTCCGGGGGTAAAAATCCGGGCCGTACACTCTAGGTTTTTATAATTTGATGTGTTCTGATTAAATTCACAACCGTGAAAATATATGTTTAATTCCGCGTTTAATCCATCGAGCTGTTGTCACAAAACTCAAAAGTTCGTGGCCGGAATTTTACCCCCTGGTTTGTGACGTCACGTTTGCCCAGGGGGTAAAATTCCAGGGGAATAAAAATCCGCTACCCCAAAATACTACCTCAACCTCACTACTGCACACTTTATTCGGGTTGAAATTTTCATTAACAAAGGTGCTCTTGTCTTTTCCTCCACGAAACACTGAGAAATAAGGACATTAATGCGTTTAACAACATACACACACAAATACAGAATTTAATTAGTGGATTTGAATACGCTTTAACCAAAGCAAAATACAAACAAAATAATTATTTGAAAGTTTTGATAGTGTCATCAAATGTTATGATAATCATTTTTAGGCCTAATCAAACTGTAAAATTTGCGTAAAGCCATTGGCAAATATACAAATAAGTAATTAAATACACAGTCCACAAACCTTTTATACATTAACAACGCCAAGCTTTAAAAGTTCATGATGGTTTGCTAAAAAAATCGTTCACTAATGTTTGATCATTTTCATAGCATAAACCAACATTTTGGAGTCCAGACAGAAAACACAAAAATTATACATTAAGACATCAATTAAGGGAATAAGAAATAAGGTGAAGCACTAACGATAATAGTTGTAAATAGTGATGTGTTTGTACGTAAAAATAATTCTTATATATATCTTATATATATTCCACCGGCTCTAAGGAAAAGTAGCAGTACCAAAAACCAACGTTTACATTGAAGAAAAGAACTATATAGTACTTTTGACCAATTCAAACTGTCCTTATAATAAAACTGTATTATAGGTCGATTCGGATTCGGCCTCGGCCAAGAGAGAGTGATAGAGACAACTGACAGGTGACGAGATTGACAGTTCAGTTCAGGCAAACAGTGAAAGAGCAAATGAATAGCTACTAGCTAGTCCACATAACAATCCTCAGGTTACAACTTAGATAAAACATTTTATCTATGATAATTAAAACATACTACTTGGTTACAACGACTAATTGTACAGTATTATGACGACAGAATACTATAACAAAACGGTTTTATACTAAGATTAAAGCTGTATACATTTATAATTATACTCGTAAAATAAAACCATAAACTTATATCCTATAGCAACCAGATCATTACTTAAAACAACAACATCATTCCGTTTGGGCCCTCTCATCTTTATTATTTAAAAATTGCCTTCTCTCCAATCTTGGCAGCAACCTTATTATCACGAATGGTATTTTTATAGTATATTATGCATACTTTTTGCGGCGGATGACATTTTACCGGGGACTATTGTTGTTCCCACAGACATTCAAACAGGCAATCTTAAATTTGATAAAATAAACATTTGACTAAACAACATCACCCTGTGAAAATGTCTACCTCATAATAATTAATAAGAACAAGGCTGTCGCGCTGCACATCAACTTCCGAATCAATAATAATAATAACATAACCGATGATACATCCACCCAAATAGCACACATTGTTGGCCCAACGTAGGGAAATGGTCGGGATGGTTGGTAAATGCATTGATAAAACATGAGGAGTATGTTTTATCTATGGTTTTATAATAAGCTGGTAAATCCCTGACAGCTCATGTCTACAGTAAAATGAATAATTGGCTCTGCTATTATGAGTAAGTTCGTGTGTGACACCAATAAGTTTGAACTACACTAAGTTTAATATTAAAGATTAGAGATACTAAAAATAATATTTTTGTTTAAAATATTATTTTTTAACGGTACAAGAATAGGCAGATTTTTGTCTGCCGTGCTTTTTAGGATTTGACAGGAGAAAACATTTGTATATGTATATTAGCCAGTACAGCATATTTTTTCTAGCCCAGGAACCAGGGTTGGCATACACCTGTTTGGTTATATAACCAAACAGTAAAGCACAAATCATGAAACTACCCCAAAAGACCAAAAATAATGGAAACAAAATTTCGTCGACACTAGCGATCAGTGTCACCGGACATTAACTAGGCTCGAAAAACGAACTTCCAAATTTACAATGGGATGATTGTCTACTTTTACTTGTGTTGGTGGTTAGGTTAGTCCATGATAAAAAATACTGAATGGATGAACTATAACGATTACACAAGTTCCCCGATCTACGTGTATGATTGCTTTAAGTTGTTTGTGATTTGTTTTGATAAAATAAGATTCATCAACATTTTTATATACATCACATTTACATTTTGAATAAACATACATTACAACCTGCATATATTTAGATAGTGATTGTTTATACGTATAATCCTGCCTTAATGTACTGGCTTAATATAAACACAAAACAGATAAGGGCAGTGTTATGGAAAGGAGAATGGGTTGACTGACATGTTTAGGGAACATTGATATGGCTGTTCGTGTTCTGTTTTCTGCAATTGTCAAGTTTAATGGTGTGCTGTGCAGTTGTTTTTCTATTGTCGAAATACATCCTTCAATCATTAATAACGCTTGGTTGTGAACCTAAGAGGACAATATACTGGCGTGAAACACATGTGTAAATGCGATAATTGTAGCTTTTTGACGTATTTGATTCTGCAAGACCACCCATCTCGACAATGGCAGGAGGTTGGATTAACTACGTACTAGACTGACAAAACATTTTCTGACTTCTATGCTCACAAACCACTCCTTATTCCAAGGTATATGTGATCTTTTCCTTTTGAAATTTTGATATGGTTTAAAGACATGAATTTGTTGACTTCCATACACGTGAATTTTCACTCATGCCTTATTAGCTTGTGCTTTGGCCACAACGTCTTAGGCCAATATTATTGAGAAAATAATGGGCCAAAGAATAAGTGACCTTAAAGGAATATTTGGAACAATGGAAGTAAAAGAAGTGAATGATATTGTCTCTGGAAGCAACTCCACTTGCTATGCTAATAGTGGGAATACAACTGAACAGAATAATCTGTCTCATGATAACAATGGGAATAACCAAGCTAATTTTGGTGTTGATGATCATTTTGAAAACATATATAGCAACAATTCAGAGAGTACTAGACATTCAGAAGATAACGGCAACTCAATTTTACCAGAGCTGAGACCGTCTACAGCTGGCCTAGGTTTACCAGCCAATTTCGTCAACCAAAATTCCTCAGAAGCGTCTGCTGCTGCTGTATTATCTGTTTCACAAGATGGACAGGCCTGTTCAATCAGCAATGATTTGAAGTTATGTTCTAAAGCCATGAGACACAACGGGACACAGAAATGTATTGGCGTTTCCAAAGATGTTTCTGGTGGCAGCAGTAAAAAGAAAAGGCACCATTCATGGGTTTTAAGATTTAACTGTGCTAGACTTAAAAGCGGAAGTAGTAGTAGTGCTGCTGGGTCCGAAAACGATATTGCAGAACCTAATATGGGCTGTGACTCATGTGTTTGCACAGGTTACAGACGAACTGAAGACCACCATTTGGGCGCAGGTGTTGTTTTTGGCTCAACTTCCCTTCAACAAAGAAAAAATGAGTCTACGGTGAATAGCGATTCTAGTAGTGGAGAAGAAGAAAGAGATTGTTTTTTAAGAACACGTCCAGTTATTGATCTATCAAAATTCAACCCAGAAGATTATCCTATAGAAGATTGCGATGAAAGAGCAAGACTTGAACGAGCTCGTGAAATTGCTGAGGGAGTCGACCCTCCTCCTGGATTCCGCCCTGCACCGCATATCCAAGTTGTCATTCCTCCAGAACTCACAGTTGACAATATCACTGCTTTATTTCAATCAGCAGCGCTATCTGCACTATCACAGCTGGATGTTACACAAAGAGTTGTCCATACTCAAGTTGATTATATTCACTGTCTAGTGCCTGACCTATTACAAATTACATCTTGCTCCTTCTATTGGGGTAAAATGGACAGGTATGAAGCAGAAAGGTTACTTGAAGGTAGACCAGAAGGTACATTTCTGTTACGGGATTCTGCACAAGAAGAGTATCTTTTTTCAGTTAGTTTTCGTAAATACGGGCGATCATTACATGCTCGCATTGAACAATGGAATCATAGGTTCAGCTTTGATTCTCATGATCCTGGAGTTTTTGCATCATCTACAGTATGTGGTCTCATAGAACACTACAAGGACCCATCCTGTTGCATGTTTTTTGAGCCTATGTTAACAATCCCTCTTCATCGGAACTTTCCTTTTCCTCTACAGCATCTTTGTAGGGCTGTTATTTGTAGTAAAGCGACATATGATGGTGTGTCTCAACTACGTCTACCCAAAAGTCTCAAGAGTTATCTGAAAGAATACCACTACAAGCAAAGAGTGAGAGTGCGACGTTTTGACTCTGAACAATACTAACTTGGTCATAACTAGATCTAGGTGAGTACGCAATTTTCTATGCAACGGTTAGATTTATCTTAGACGTAAACTTTGCTTAAGATATAACTAAAACTATGATAGCTTCTGGGACAGACAGATTCTTTAGGCCAACTTCTTATATTTTCATTCGGTACTTTCCTGTTACAAGGGGAACATTCATTATTATCGATGATTTCTTTTTGATATATCGATATATTGATATTAACAAATTGAAACTTATCAGCTGCAAATAAATATTGTTCAGTACCTACTAACAAACAATACAAAAACATATTTTATTGAAATGAAACTGTTCTAAAACTAAACTAGGCCTAACTAAACAAACTTGCTGTAACATTTCAAAATTAAAAAAACCGTAGCCTATTCCCCATATGCCTTTTTTGTTATCAAACGTAACTTACCCTAAAGTACACAGCAAGTTTGGTTAATTATGTTAGGTTAGTTTAGAATAGTTTCATTTCTTAATCCAATATAGCGTAGGCTATTATTTTTACCTAAAAAAGATTAGTTACTTAATCCTATTCTCTTATACGAGCTATAACTCAATAACAGGTTATTGAACCGATATAACTTAGACATATTCGCTATGTCTGTTTGTTTGTTGATGAAGTTTGGGACAGTAAGTTAGGGTACCCACTCAACCGCAAAAATCTTAAAATTTTGAATGGGTCGTGGATTTTGGCAACCATTGATTAACCTGGTTTGAGCTGTGAATTATTTGGTTAGGCCTAAATCTTAAAATGGGAATTTTAATTCCGATTCTTGATTCTTCAAACTGGTAATAGCAAGGAAAAGTAAATCTTTGATACTTTGTGACTTTGGAATATACAAGGGCTATTTCAGCGTTCTGACGCCTATAGGCGGACGCCTATCTTGTACATTTTGGTGTGTGCACACTCGGCAACTCAGTTGGCTGTGACAACAGGAATAACTTATCCTAGCGCTGCCTTTTTTTTTGTAATTTGTAGGTACTTAGATAGGCGCTTTGATTTGAAAAACCCGCCAGTTGTGAGGTGCGGTAAATGATACTCATTTTGTTGGCAAAAAAACATAAAACCAATAAATATTTATGGCCAAGTGTGTGAAGTTCGCGGAAACAATGTAGGGTAGCCTACCCTAATGGTTTGTTGTTTAACAATTTCAAACAACAAGTCCACGAAACTTGAGGGAAACAAAACGAAAACTCTGTTATCATGAATTGGCGGTTTTCCCGAACCTTTTAATCAACTTTTGCGACCAGTTCCATCAGTCACATTGCTCGGGCGTACCTGCTCTTCCCTTCGTCATGACTACCGGTAATGAATGTCAGTTCGGCCAGTTTTAAACTGAAGAATGCACTATTTTCACACAGATATTTCATTCATTACGTTGTTTCAGTAAACTTCACACTCGGCGATAAGTTTTTTGCCAACAAAAACTGTTCCATTGATCGCGCACCTTACAACTGGCGGGATTTTCAATTGCAGCGCAAATCTTAAGTTGAAATTGTGAAAAAATTAGCAGCCCGACTAAGAATGTTCCAGTTGTCACGAGTGCGCACGCATAAAAATGTTCAAGATCAGCATGTGCCGTGTGCCTAGCGGCGTCAGAACAAAACGTTTGTTACTTTCTGAATACCCCTCATACAGGACTCTAGGATCATCTGTGATCATGAATCTATATCAAATATTGTATTCTTCTCCCACTATAGGCCCTAATTGACCAGCTTGAGACGAGTCACAGATCGCTCATAATGCACATTGAAAGGGTCTAGGAAAACAGTCAGATTAGATACTATGTTGTAAGTAGGTTCCGCAGTGTACAGGGCTGGAAAACTATTACTGCTAGGTGCTAAGCTGCCTGACTCTAATCAGTTTGCTGATGTCTCTCTCTCAATTTATATGCATATCTAGATACTCTATTCGTTTGTGTCTGAGGTCTGCAATTCTGCCACTTAAGGCTACCTGTTGCTTTTCTGTTGATGTCGCTTGCTGACCCATATCAACATCACAAAAATATGAAAACGTGACTTAAAAATTGGAATAAACCTTAGATTATTTTTATTAGGTAGGGATAGAAATGTAATACAAAATAACAATGTATTTTACTTCTATATTTCTAATTTTCAGCATATTTTAATGTGCAGAAAATATATCGTTCAAGATAAGTATATCTAAATTTAAATTTTAGTTGAAGTAATGTGTGATTAAAGTGTTTGCATTTTTCAACATTTATTTAAATGCTAAAAGATTTAAAAGATTTATTGATTTATTTCAATTTTTTCCAGTTGTGAGCTGCAGCACATGTTCCAGAGGTACTTTACTCCTTTACTAGGCCTGGAAATCATTACTGGAATCACAGTGAGTCATTATAGTCCAAGTGTTTTCTGACCAATGAGAAAAAAAAAAACTGTTAGGCCTTATTTTAATGCTTTTAACCTAGTGGCTACTGTACTAGGCCTATAGGGCCTAGTTGAAATGTCTGAGTCAGTATATTTTTACATCAAGATGTTGAAAGGAGGTAGTGCACTAGCAAGGGTGCTTGTAGTCATGCAGAATTAATTTAAAACAATGAACTCTCCACTTTTGAAAATTAAGGAAATACCTATACCTCAATATTTTAGTGGACAATGTGCTTGCCTGATAACAGAAGGTTACTGGTTTGACACCGATAACAGTTCGGCAGATTTATGATGGTTTATTCTTCGAAATCCAAGCTGAATTTGTTTCAAATAGGACTAAGTAAGAAAAAGTCAGTTTTTAATTTACTGTTTTAACCTAAAACTATTTGTCTTATGAGATGTCTTGTGGTGTGACTTTATTACTGAAAGCAGCATGAGGCATCACCCCTAAATTAAAATAAATTATATATTTTGTCCCTAATTGCTTTCATTGTTATAGTCGTAATCAATTAAATACAGTGATGTCAGGATTGTCAAACAGAGAAACATAGTTAGGGCTATGATTAATTAAAATTCAAAAATATTAGGCTAAAATACAATGTAAACACTTTTTGTGATTTGTCATTAGGCCCATATAACTTAGTGTATTCTAGTTTGAAAATTGTATCCCTATAGTTAAGTCCCTAAGCACAATTTTTACCGTGCCATTTGATGTGCGAGTAACTTTACTGAAGGCACCCTTGTTAGTAAATTACTTTTCTTAATTTGAAACTAAATGATGATCCTTTAGAGTGCGGCTGGCTGAAGGGTCGGTACTACTCACATACAGGTCTCATACACACACCTCGTCTAACATATACAGCTCGTGACATCTAAGCTGGCACTTGGCCTAGCGCGGGCAGTGTAGGCAGGGTAGGGTAGAGGGTGGAGGTAGGGAAAAGACCGGACTGCAAACATTTCCGCTGTCTCACGGGGTTGACTCCCCTTGTATTATGTACTTGAGCGCCTTCATATGGTTGGCGAGGACAATTGATGCAACCCGCATGACGGGACATAATGTTTTTGAACTAGCTACTAGTAGCGATCGGCCAAGTGCCAGCATAGATGTCATGAGCTGTACAAGGGATTAGGACGGATCATTGAGGGTGAGTCGAGTCCCTCGCACTTTGGTCAGGGCACACTCCCTGAGCTAACAGTGTATATACTGGCACACATTTCTTTAAACATTATAAAAATCAAATAGGGTTTAGTCGTGTGATTTTATGATTATTTTTAAGCACCAACTTTGGTATTTCGAGGTATTCACCTGTATCACTTGGTCATTTTGGATTCTGGCTTATGTTTGCAAGGGAATGAAATCGGTTGGTGATTTGAAAATTATACATGGGTAGAAGAAAATGCATCCATTTTGGGTTTAGTGTATTAGTAAGCAAATGGGCTTAAATGTGATCAAGTTATTTAAACTACAAATAATCAAGAATACTCTCTGATCTGTTCCAATTAAAACAGATGTAGGCTATAGTTAGCAGATAAACGCTATCACAAAAGGGAATTGTTAACATAACATATGACCAAACAAAAGAAAATGTTTATATTTAATTGGTGATAAACTAGCTGATTCATTTGTTGTTTTTCATATTTATTCTTATTATGGTTTTATTTTATTGACGTGTTGAATCACATTTTGTGAATTAGTCTTTGAATCAAACTTGTGTTGTTTGCATAAAGTAGCAAGGTTTTATTCTTCAATCAGCTTATTTCTTAATATTTTGTTAGTTTAGACAGAAAAATCTTTAAACTCTTAACTTATTTGCTTTAATATTTGTCTACGGTATTAGCTTGCTTGTAAGTTGCATTAAAAATGTACATCCTTAGTAATTGCCATAAATAAAGGCCTATTTAAAAAGGTTATTAAGATAGAATAAGCGTAGAAAGTTTTAACTAGGCCTATTTAATTTTAATATTATTGTGTTTGTATTCATTTATACTCTCGCTGATATGTTTTAAATTATTTTATGATACATTTTTAAACCCTGAATTTAAAAAAAGAACTATTTTTGTATTTTTATATAGGCTGATTTTAATATTATTATTGTGTAGGCCTATGCCGGTAGGTATTGTGACATTGAAACATGTATGATTAATATTTGTGTACAGGGTGTTTTTTTTTAACTTGGGTAACTAAAAATATAAGTAGGTACAGAGGCATTGTTTGGAGAAAAAAAGAAGCTCTTATGTTGGCAGCCCTGCTTCCTCTAGCCTACTTTGTTACCAATCATTTTGATATGCTGATTTGCTTGGTTATCCACACAGTTTAGTGTTGTTAGGAATCAATTTTGAATAAGCTTTTGAACACATTTTTCTCTAAAACTCAACCCATGTTCTTTAACTAGGATAAAATAATATTAAAAAATAAATATTACATTATTGATTTTTATAGTTTATAACCCGTAGTTTATGCATTACGTACTAGAATCTCACCTAAAACTTATTGATAAAATTTCCCAACATAAAACAAATGATTTACTTTAATGTATTCTTCTACAATACAAATACTCTTTAAGCTTGTGAGAGTACCATGTTGAGTCTTATTCATAATAAATTCTTAATTATTCTAAACCACAGAGGAGTTATATACAAAGGATACAAGCTTATGGGACAACTGTGCGCTTTTAGTTCTGGTATATTGGGCCGGAAATGTACTTTGGAAGGACAAGCAAGGAAAAGCCTGAACGGCGATGGCCACATAGCATTGTTGTACAGCTCTTGTAGCGCACAGTGCTTCCTTCAACGTTAGCACTGTATTAAATCATTGCGAGAGGGAAAGGAGAGCGGGAGGGGACAACGAATAGAATTTGCTCTTGACACCAGCTTACGTGTACAATTGAATTTATCCTCTGTTTCTTTCTTCTATGTGGCTAAACCATGTAAAAGGCATATCAGCTAATGGGCAATGAAGTAAGAGTAGCAGGGCTACCAACATATGTGAGCTTGATTTGTCCATAAACTTTACGGTTTACGTACAATCTCAGTACCGTACTTTAATTTGGGTTACATTTAAAAAAAACACTGTATATAGTTGTAATGTTATTTAAAATAATTATACCAAGTCTGTTGAATTATTTCTTGTGACCTATGCAAAAAGTATTATGTGTTTATGTGTATTTTTATATTTCAGATTCTTTAAATAGGCTACACACTTCATGTTAGACTAAGCTTGGAATGATACTGATGTCCTGTCAATATGTCACAATCTAACCTTTGGTTTTCCTTTTATTTGTGACAAATCTTACAATATTGGAAAATAAAGAATGGGATCTAATGTTTGTTAACTGTCAAAATACCTCGTTGAAAGCATACATTTCTTTTCTGACAACAATTAAATTAATTAACTTAAAGCTTGTATCAACCCTTTAAGCTGGAGAATTCAACAAAAAAAGAGAAACCAGTTTCTTCCTTCTATAAACTCATTTAAAAGAAACAAACCAGGCTTTGCGTGCAACCCCTATACCAAAAACATCAAGATTTTAATATTGTTGTTCATGTTTGAGACGTTAATGATGACATTATGGTATACATACAAAAACTTTGTTTTAAAGAATAACGCTGATGTCACGACATATGAGTGGAACGGGATGTCGCAGCCACCGCCACCTACAAGTGGAAAGGGCCAGTAAGAGATGTTTAATAGTTAAAGAAATTACTTGACCATCCCTTAAATTATTGACCATACATGGCCTCAAATGTTTATTTTTTAAATGAAAATAAAATACTTTTTCAATGTTAGTTTGAAGTATTGAACTGAATTTAGGTTTAATTATTTTCACCCGTAACTTCACAGTTTTGCTTAGTGAAGTTTTGTAATGATACAGTTTTTAGTTTCAAATATTGTATGGTTTGTTGACAATAAGAATCAGGGTCAGGAGCTGGCATAGCTCAGAACATTAAAACTCAACATTTTCTATCTGTACTTTTTCTGATACAGCTGTTTGTATAACTTTTTTTAGTCACAGTTTGTGGAAAAAACTCTGATGTTAAACAATAAGTGACTCCAATGTTTTTTTAAAAATCTTGTTTTACTATTGTACAAAGAAGTAAGGAATAGATTATACACTTCATGGTACAATTAAAAGGTGTCTAGCACTAGTGCTGGTGTCTAGGGCAAAGTCCAACACCGTCCCCTCACCCTCGTCCCTACTACAACGTTCACGGTGGAGAAAGACCCTGTACCTTGTGCGATAGGAATTTCCGCAGTGTTGAAAGTTCACCATTGTTCCATAAGCGTGTTTCCTCTGTACCTTACTTTTATGTGCTGGTTGTGCCTAGAAAGGCTTGTGACTCCAGTGTGATTTTTGGAGAAAGTAAGTGATATACAATTTACATCTTAAGAGTTCTGAGCTGTGCAGTTTCTCACATGATATCTTTCTGTCTCTTATAGTAGTTAAAAGTTTAGTTGTTGACATTAATGACACTAAAAATTACATAATAATCAATGTAAACAAAGAGCAAGAGCACCTATACTGTATTATAGCTGTATATAACATTATATTGTAAGCATAAAGTATTATAACTGGTATATAAATATATTATTTGTTATGAGTTTATTAAATGTATCGATATGTATTCAAACAGTACTTTGCAATGACAAAGTTCCTATCCTGTTTTGAATAATATTAATGTTAGGTGGGGACATTGCACTTTGTATTTTAATTACGATGTATACAAATATTTGTAAAATAAATTAAAGCGGTCCATGTATAAAATGTTCACTATTGTATAATGCAATGTATCGCTTTATGTATTATAAATCAAATGCGGATTTGAGAAGCTGGTGGGTTGATGCTGACACTGTGCTTTGATGACTTAAATGTCTTATTTATGTTAATGATGTAATATTTTTGTTAATAAATAATTACTGTTTGTAACGTGTGTGTTGTCAATGCCAAAGATAAGATTTTGAACAAATCACTAGGTGTAGCAGAGTCTGAATGTGAACAACACGCAAACACGCATTAGATTAAAATTACCACAAGCTATAACTCAAACTGGACGTAAAACTGTCCTCTGACTTTAAAACCTAAGTAGCTGTTCTGGTAATAGTTACAAATTTATCAAGCCTGCATAGCTTGCCTCTACCTAACTTGAAATAGGGTATAGTCCTGAACATTTTAGTAATTTAACAAGCCCAAAACTTACATGGGCATTCTCAATTTAGTTGTTAGATTTACACACCAAACTTACACGGCCTTTTTCAATCTAATTCTGCTCAGATAATTAGATTATGTTGGTCTGAATTAAGTTGCAAGACAAAACTTTCTAGAACACCAGTGTGACTATTAGAGTGGGCTTGCGTTGATAATAAATTAATGTATACCGTACTTACAATATAACCCCATGCCTTTTGTGTGGGTTTTGCATCACTACTGTACTTTTAATGGTCAATCACTGCCACTGTAGGGCATCAGCTTGGTAAGTGTATTGTTACATAGTTTACCAAAAACCTGTGTATAGGCATTGACTATTGTACAGTAGACTCTTGATAATTCGAAATTGGTGGGCCAAGCATATCAATTTGAATTATCAAGAGTTTTGAATTATCAAGAGTTCGATTTATCGGGAGAAAAATAAACCATTCGAATTACAGAGAGTTTGTTTGTTTAATACATGCAAAGGTACAGAACGTTACAATAAAACAACATACCGTATTTTAGTACCTACACTTTTAAACAATCAACGGCTTATTTTTCAGTTACTGTAGTTGCAAAAAAATCTGTTATTTAGCGCTATATATTTTGCCAATAGCTGAACTATCAGCTGTCGACAACTACGTTTGTGCTCAAGGAGATGTCGCGCAATCTAGAGATCGGATTGCCAACTTAGAAAAACAAGTCAGCGAACTAACTCAGACTACTGCTCTAACTAAAAAAACCTCAAAACGTCCAACACTAGCCTACCATGGGAACAGGATGTACTGTACTGTATAGTTTCCTGTTATAACAGGAAGAGATCACTTCGAATTATAGAGTGTTTTGCCGACTAAACTTCGAATTACTGCGTGACTTTGATTTATAGAGTGTTTTTTCGACGAAACTTCGAATTACAGCATGACTTCGAACTAAAGAGTGTTAACCGACGAAACTTCGAATTACTGAGTTACTTCGAATTATAGAGTGTTTTTTCGACGAAACTTCGAATTACTGCGTGTTACAAATTGACCTGCCCTCTATTTGGACTTTGAAATACCGAGTGTATCAAAATGCATGGTAAAAATTTGAAATATTGAGAGATTCCCTAGGGACTGAGCCTTCATTTTGAATTATCGAAAGTTTTGAATTATCAAGTGTTTGAATTACCAAGAGTGGACTGTATACTGAAGTAGACGTCCCATCTATATATGTTGACGGGTCATAACAGTTGCTACAGCTCACGTTAAGTAATTCCATTACTTTGAATTGGTAAAACAGATTGTGTATTCAACAGAAATCAGTAATTTAGATCAACACAATCTGTCAGCTCACATCAACTACGTCTATTTTGGTAAAAAAGCTGGCTACAAATTTAACATGGGTATGGAATGTCTAGTTGTAATAATAGTCAAAGGTATAGACTAACTAGTAACTGGTATATTAAGTCTGTCGACAAAAAAAATTGCAAATGTGAAATAATGTTACTGACTCTAGCCAGCTGTTGTTGGAGTATCATCTTACAAATTAACCAACCCTGTGCCCTAATGACGTAAATAGTGTGAAATTGTTCCAACTTCTGCCTCTACTGTTCATGTGACCAGTACTATAACTACATTTCTCTGTTGTATTGGCTTGCAGCCATCCTGGTAGATTCTTGCTACCAGCTTGGAATTCAGTTTCTAACATCCGAACTTGGTGCCACCACTCGGCAGCCCTGAGAACGACAAAAATAAGGAAAACCATGGTTTTTTTTTAACTAGTGCTGCTGACTCTCTTGAGTCATCGAGTGTATTTTGGCAGTACTATAGGCTATCCGAGCAGGGAGTACCAGTTCTATCCCAACTTCTGTGCTTAAGATCGCAGTCAATACAGCTGGCCCAATGGATTAAGACAACCTACACCAAATATTTCTGATCGCTTAGGGCAGACAGTTAGCTGAAGTCTCATTGTATAGTTAAGCCTAGTCCAATTGGCGAGTTGTCTCTGGAAACATTATTGGCCTTGTTTCTGGAGACAAAATACAGTTTTTTCTGATCCCACACCATTGGGAAACAAAGACAAGATTCATGTCTCTTGTCTCAAGTCAGCATGTGTGGACGTGTCTGGAGACAGGAAATTGTAGATGGCCCGAACCCGCTGGTGTGGAGTGTGGAGTTCAGGGCTAAAATTGTAGACCTTTAACACGTAAATTTCCTTGCCATCTTTGGCACAACAAATCCTTAAACAGAACCACAAAATCAGTAGGAGTCATTCTTGTAACGTTTCTAAATCATGCGCCATCTTATAATCGAGGGTATGATCGAAGGTTTTGGCCACATCAGCCACATTATTTAGAAGTGAGAAGCCCTCCATTGCAAGCAACTATAGTTTGTTCACAAAATTTAGGCGGTTTAAGGGGGGTTTTTTGAAGTCTTCCGGTTCTAGAAGGGTTTGCCGCTGAAATGTCAGCGTTGCCCGGGGTGCGCTCGATTGTGGTGTCGTTCTTAGCTTGTAATGGTCACAATCGTGTGAAGTCTGATTTTCGGACATGGAAAGTAAGCAAGTAGGGGAAGGTTTACTGGATTAACCCCAAAACTTTTATTAGCTCAATGTATATATCAGCTGTTGGCTGATGTTAAAAAATTATGGGGTTGAAATTGCTTCTCCTCAAACCACCTAAATTTTGTGAACAGAGTATACGGTGTTAAGCTTACCCTTGATTCAGCCTAGCTAAAGAATCTTTATGGTTAAAAGTACCATATCAAACAGTCTGAATGGAGAAGGCTTTTGTTAGAAAACTGTAAAGCAAGAGCCAGAGAACCAGAAAAGCAATTAATTTGCTATTTCCTTGAGTATCTAGATTGATTTAGTTATGCCTTTTTCAAACATATATTCCTTCTTCTTATGAACTAGTGAATCTGAATTCTTATTAAATCATTCTTTAAATGTAAAGTCCATCAATCCTGTAAACTTGCACTATTTATTTCAGGTGGACTTCTCCCACCAAGCTCTACTGAAGTTAGGTGAACTCGTTACAAGTTTCATTCTAGATCTAGTCGAGATGGGATACAAATCCTGAGTCTTCTGTGCTCCTCACATTAAGAGTCTTCTTCACCCCTGCGAAAACAATAAAAACATGCCTAGGACGTCCCTCGCTCCGGATGGAATGTGTGAAGATATGTTAAAACTTTTTCCCTTACAGATGAATGTTGGTTCTGGGGCCCTCATACATGATATATCCAAGAAAATCAATAGTACAAGTACAAAAAAATCTTAAAGTAACGTAAATTGAGTAACTTTTAAACACTAATAAAACTAATTTTTTTTTCATTTTCAACCATTTGAGGTATAAGAGCTCTTATATAACTATTCAACTACATTTATACCAAATTTCAAGAACATCTGTTGAAAAACGGCCTTCGAAACGGGGGACGAAATTAACATGTTTTGTCGGAGGCTACTTCGCTACTAGCCTTTTACAAAACTTAGCTCAGGCGGCAGATGAATCACCGTCGTGTCTATTTAGTAGTTGTGTGTTTACGATGTTTTCATAATGGCGCGCATAATGACCCCGCACTACCCTCCTGTCTACAACACCTTCCCCCCCAAGGCCATATCCCCAAAACTCAGGGTGATGAAGACCCTTAAGAGATCTCCATTTGTCACGACCAAGCTAGCTAGATAAAATCTAAGATCACTGACGCAATTTTTATTACATCCACTACTATTACATCCACTACTACTCTAGCCGGTTTCCACCCCTATTCAACAATTAGTATCGTCAAAGTTGCCAAAAACAATGTTATGGAATTATTGCTTATACAGGGTGACACAAAGGAACCGGACGGTTTTGAAATAAGTAGTACACAGTAGTTAAAAGGAATAAAATGGTTTTAATACTGTACATAGTGAGCTACACATTTGCCATTTTTTACAAAACAGTCATTTTTTGAAAATTACGTCATGCATATGGCGGCCATGTACTTATATACAATTGTTCATTCTGGTCTGAAAATCATCTGAAACTCGGGTCAAGAGGTCTTGTTCAATGCCATTGATATATTCTGTGATTGCAAACTTCAAATCCTCTAGAGTGCGTGGGTTGTGAGCATGAACACGCTCCTAAAGAAACCCCCAAAGGATATAATCTAATCACTAGTGGACAAGCCGGGTGATTTTGGCGGCCACGGTATGTCATCAAAGCGAGAAATCACCTTTTTAGAAAACACTCATTCAATACTGCTCTCACTCTGGTGATGTTTTTGGGTGTTCTGGAAGTTCTAACAAGGCCTGGTGGTTTCTTTCTTGTTATATTCCCAGTTGTTCGGAACCCTGAAACCCATCTTATTAGCGTATTTCGGCTTGGAACCGTTCCATGGCGTTCAATATTAAAATGTCGACTAAATACCCACTGGATTTGACGACGGATTCACCATTTTAGAGCAAAGTATCATATGCAAAAACACGATGGTCTAGGGTCCACTGAGCCATTTCAGCAAAAATGGCAAGCCTCACTGAAGGTAATGACATAACTTCAATCTTCCTACCACGTGTAACAACAGTGGAACAGCTGTTTAAAAAACGTCCGGTTCCTTTGTGTCACCCTGTATCAAGTATGAATCGCATTCTTTAATTAGTTTTCCACAGTCTAAGACACCAACCGCTATTGAGTCTATGGAAGTGAACAAAACTGTTGAGAGGCTTTTAAAACTGTTTAGATAATGTGCAATAGTTGTGGAGGGGGGGTTGAAGGTAGGCCTAGTTGTAAGTATATCCAGTTATCCACACTGTTTAAGGTGTTTTGAGCGGTGTAATGTATTAGTTCATCAGTCTCGTCACAGAAAACGTACTACTATAACCCAGAATGCCAACCGCATGGTAAAAAGCATTAAGCGGTTTGAGAGAGCTTTGCCTGTCAATCCGTAGGCAGCGCCACCAGCGTTGCTATGCTATTGCATGGCAATGCTGGTGGCGCTGCCTACGGATTGACAGGCAAAGCTCTCTCAAACCGCTTAATGCTTTTTACCATGCGGTTGGCATTCTGGGTATAGTAGTACATTTTCTGTGGTCTCGTTTGAGGCAGTAATCTAAGGTAGGAGGATTTTTCATGCGGATAGTGGTGTAGTTGAATGAGCGATTTTTGTACTGTCAATGGACGTTTTATAAGACTTTTAAAAACAACAGTAAACATAAACCTCGATGGTAATAAAAAACTCAGATGAATTTTCCTCAACATTATAACTGTCTCTAAGTTAAAGACAAAACCCTTGCCACTTGCAAATTTGAACGGTCTTCTGCAGTTCCACTATGCTACTACTTCTACACATTTTCCATGTCTAATCGAAGACAATAGCTCTCCATACACATCATCTGTCAACTAGCAGTGGATTTCAACAGGGGTTGACCAGCAAACTGAAACCTAATCTCTGAATGGGATTCATTCCTGGCGGGAGTGTAAATTTTCCCTCACACAGCTTTTGGCTACTGTGACGAGACAAATTGTCGTACATGGGTGGGACCCGGTTTGAATAGTAATGGGTAAACTAAAGAAACCAATATAAGCCTTACACTTGAACTAGCTTACTTTACTTTTCCAAGGTGTGGGCTAAATGGTGACCTTACTTTAAGGACAGCCTAGTACTTGCTTAAATTCTACATAGGCCTACATCTCAGCAGAGGAACTATCAAGTTAATGCAAGTTTTCATCATGGGAATCATGAACATGATTTCTAATGTCAATTTACATTACACTTCACGTTCTTATGTTGATATATAGTTTTGCAAAACATATTATAGGCTTCAGCTAGACTATTGTTTTAACTCTACTGACTGACTAGGTACGGTATTCAAGAAATCAAGAAGATGTAATTAATTTAACTATACAAGAAACCAAAATACCATCCATGTCAGATTTTAATGGTAATTAAGGCCTGTAACCTTTTGGTTGGAACAGAAACCAATCGGTGAAAGTTATAAAATTTTTATTTACAGCCTTTTCTATATATACATATATTTACAAAGCATGACATGATCAGTGTTTATAGCTTATTTGAACAAAATGTCTCAACCTATCTACATGTTTTAGAGAGTCTTTTATGGTAAACAGTTACCGGCGATGAAATAAACTTAATAATCCAGTTTCATGGTTTCCATGTAATAATTTGTGAAACTTTGCGTTTCAAATGGATCTCTTAAGACACTCTTACGCACCAAAGCTGGTGGCGGCTGAGGGATTAGGACGGCCAGTTAGGACTACATAGGTCGGCCCTATTAGGACGGCCAGGTCGGTGAGCAGGACCGACCTATGTAGTCCTAACTGGCCGTCCTAATCCCTCAGCCGCCACCAGCTTTGGCGCGGAGTATAAAGAGATGATAAAACACTGATTTATTGTACACAATCATTACAAAATCAATAATTTGCCATCAATGACTTAACATAAGTTTTAAAATGTCTTAAAGACTTTTTACAATCTCAACCACAAAGGCTGATACACTTTCAAATATTCTTCATGAATCTCTCTTAGTCATGAAATAATAAAAGATAATCACTCTTTAGAAAATTTTATAATTACAAAAATAATACTGTTCATGAACCCAAAGAACTTTGTCTATCAATTTTTTTCACATCAACTTTATATATCTCTAGTAGGTCGCCGACTGAGAGACGAGAAAGTACAGGTTCATTGGAGTGTGACGGTTGGCCACCCTGGGCAATCCCTTGTTTGAGTTGTTCAATGGCCTCCTCGTAGGTTGGTAGTCCTGCCACCACTGTGTAGCTGGGGAGAGATTCAGAGTCGTAACCTGCCTCGACTTGAGCCTCCATTCTACGGGCCTCCAGCACTAAAACAATAAACGCAACGGTTAAATGAAAAAGGTAAAAAAGTGTTTTGGTGAATAGATGACTAGAGAAATTTCTAAAACAATTCATCTTTCCCAATGGATTCTGTACTCACTTTTCAATTGACCAATAATATGTGTTAGGGGGGGGCAGTTGACATGGCTCTTTCTAGGGAAAACTAAATTTGAAATTTCTTAAAATGAGTACTGTAAACGTTAAAAAAGATTGTACCGGTAGCCAAAAATTAGTTTGTATTTAAAGCTTACTCAGCGTTTTTACCGACCAAAGACATTTTTAAAAGCAGTTTACATTCTAATAAATTACTCCAAAATTATGTGTCTGCTAAAAATAATTACTATCGGATTTTAGTATTAGAAAAATAATATTGACAAGGTGAAGACAGGATTCTTCAATATTTGACCAAAAGTAAAATGAAAGGGCCATTAATACACATAATATTATTTAGAATATATGAAATATCTTACGAAAATACACACAACTTCTCTTATACAATGTACTCTTATACAATGTATAAACACACTACCCACCAGCTTTATAGTGGATACTCATAAACACTCAACATTTTTTCTCAAGGTGAAAGGTCCACAATTGTAACGCAAGAAGTATAACTTTTCAATTAAATCCCAAGTCTACAGAAATTAAAAAAATCGGGCATGCACTTAGATGCAAAGCTTAATTGTAAGGCACATATTTGGACTAAAAGACAACATCTAAATAAAAAAAAAAAAACTAAACTTAGTTGTCTTCTTGGATCTAAATCAAAACTTAGTACACAAAATAAATTGTTACTGTACAAAACAGTTCTAAACCCAATTTGGACTTATGGGATTCAGCAAGTACATCAAACATTAAAATAATTCAATGTTACCAATCAAAATTGCTACGTAAAATTGTCAACACCGCACCGTGGTTTGTTACAAACAGAACACTTCATTCTGATCTTCAAAGAAGAAATTACAAAAACTAGTGAAAAATACATGATCAAATTTGAAAATCATTCAAACCATCTTGCACTAATTGGACAGTCACAACACCATTTACAGACTAAAGCGACTTACGATATTGGACCTCCCATTCAGATTCGGCTAAGCAGTGTTAACAAAATTCTCTTTGTTAGCTAGTGTTGACAGTGGTCAATCACTAGCTCATGTTATTCAAGTTAATGTTGTGTTATTATTTATATCATTTGCTCATTGTTCAACTTTTGAACAGATTGTAAATAAAATAAAATAGAAAAAAAATTCAAGACTTTTGCAAAGAACCACACATTAAACTATTCCAAATAACACAATTTACCAGCAATACATAAGTTGGGCTTAGTATCCAAAATTTATTTTTGGTGTATAATTTATTAATAGCAATAAAACTTTGCATTTTTCGGTTTGATGTCGCTGGCTGAGTCATCATAGGATACAAGGGGTGTTGGATTCTGCTATCCAACTGCTATTTAGGATTCTGTTCTGACCTTTATGTAGGTCCTCTTTTAAAGTTTTAATTAAACTGCTAAACTAACCAGTTATAAAAATAAAATAGCTAAACTGCTTTGGCTCGTGCTCATCAAAAAACAAAAAAATGTCAATTTAAAATACTAAACAATGAAGCTAATGGGAGACAGTTTGCTAGGGGTGATGATTTATTTTTGTTGGCTAAACCTTCCCTTGTTAAAAAAACCTTGTCTAAACTACTAAAGGATACATCTACAGAGGATTAACTAAAAATGCTAAATTCACTACAAATATTAACAACATCTACAATGGAACTACAATATTTCAAGATTGGATAATGTAGATACCTTGATTAGAAAGAGGTATTGAACAGACGTAAAGACGATTAGCTGAAGCGTGAGCAAAATGCAACAGGATGTCATGGGAGAAACCTACAATTAAAAGTTATACTGTAACACTTTTGATATACCAAAACCAAACTATGTAGTCTCACCTTGGTGGTTTAAATTTAGACGTACAATATCTTCGACTTTAAAGGAGATATGATTTAACTTAAGAATCAAAAAATATAATAGAACAATCACATTATTTTGTAAATCTGACATTTCTACCAGAGCTTTTAAAGCTAAGAAAGAGAAGTTTAAGACAATATTTAACTGCACAATATTTTTTCTTTTTGAGGATTTCGTGGAGTGCTACTAAAAAAAAACAACAAAAATCTACGGTAGTCTTACGTTATTTACCTTACATTTTATATTTTGTATTGGTGTCCTATGTGTATGGTAATGGTTTTTGAGACAGAATGAGTGAATAGATTTAGTCAGATTTTCAATAAACTCTTCATAAAAGTACTTAATAAAAATATCTATCTTTTTTAATTTTGAGAAGTTATTGTACAAAAAAATTAAAACATAATGGTTGTTTGAATTGTCAATTTAATTGTTCTGAGAAACTGATCATTCTGTTGTCTTGTGATATTATTTATTGCTACTTTCCTCTACAAAATGTGAAGAATAATTTACATGGGTTTTGAGCTAAGAGTGAGAATAGAATTTTTCAGTTACCAATACCAATGGAACCAACAAAGAAGGTTGTTTTAGACATACTGTCTACACTCCTTTAATCTATGAACATAGCCAATGCTAATCTATTATAAAATAATACAAAGGTCTTAGCTAAGTTACCTACTGTATATCATTCTATACAACATTGTAAAAAAAATTCAAAACAACTCTTCACCTAAAGTATGACGGTTGTCTATACTTTTTTCTGTTTTTAGTACGACACTAGACCAGGATCGTTTTTCACATTATTTCAGGTGAAAAACTATCTAGTACTAGGTATTAGGGGAGTGCCTAGGTGTTGTGGCATTATAACTTAGATAAAATCCATCGGTGATATGGTGGGATTTGAACCTGGGACTAAAGACCCTTGCTCTTACTACTGGACCAGCTAACTCCCCACTATGATGTAATAGAACATTTCATGGTTTTAAAACGAGTAGAGAAGTATATTTTAATTGTTGTTTTTTGTAAGGCAATTTTACACTACATCGTACTGACTCATATTATCCATATAGACTCACGGATATTTATGATTTCTTACAACACGATTAATTTATCCAGAATATATTTTCTCCTGCATAAAAAATCCCCTGGTATGCTATTTTTAATCTTTTCCTCATCATTATTTCTCTAAAAAGACATATATTGATTCAAACTTTAAATCATTCATACAATTCAAGGTCCGAGGGATAAAAAGTTGACAAGGAGCTAGCTAGTAAACACAAACATCTTGCAACCAGTTCTGAAGGTCAAACTGAGAGAGTTGTATAAAGATGTTTGATGTTACACTCATGACTCCAATCTGATCATGGCCATTTAGCGTGTCATTTCTCACTTAAGATGTAATCCATATGTTTAGAGTTGACACCTATTTGCTAATTAGTTATGTACAGTAACGCAGCCTCCAGCCTCATTACCAAGGAAAAATCTTCAGATTTGATTTTCACATTATAGGTAGTTACTATTATGATAATGAGAAACTTAAGTTTATCAATATTTTTGATTGGAATGTGTGCCTTTGATTTGTGTTGTAATGTTGTAAATTATTTAAGGTCAATTCCCTTCTCCAGCTGTACTCCTCAACGAAAAAAGGAGCTCGGGAGGGGGCTTCAAAGGGAATTTTAAAAACAAAAAATTATTTGTACGTATAATCTGGTTTGGGGTTTAAATTTTGAGCCGAACTTTTTTATCTTTGCGATTGCCAAAAGCCTCTTATGAGATTGCACGATTGAAAATCGCGATGTCATCACGATTAGTTCAATATGATAACAAATATAGTTCATCATATGGGCAAACCTCCCCTCATTTTTCAACCCTTGGTCATTTAATTTTTGGTCAGTTAAACTTGAGCTTGAGTCAAAGTCAAGAGTGACTCTACGCCCTAGTGATGAAATACTACTCTTCAATAATTTTGTGTATTATCATCATCTGTATACTTAATACAATAAGGGTTACATCCCTTTGTCAGCTGTTCTACTTAATGGATTTTCACGATTGAGGTGTCACTTTAAAGCTTGATCCAGTGCATCTGTGATTGGTAACGAAAAAGGTTATTTCCTTAAGCGCTTTGCCCCCTTGCTTTTCAATCATTTCTAGAGTTCACTTTCAAAGATTCAGAACTTCCGTTATTAACGGTTACCTGATTGAAGTTTTAGGGTAAATGACTCTTTAATATTGTAGATATAAAATCAACAAATTTATTGAAAATTAGTAGTTTTTTCACCTAAATAAACCTAATCTTGAAATGGTAAAAGCGTATTGATTGGATTGATTTTGCCTCGGAAACAAATTTTGGACACTATTAAAATATGCAATATACGCAACTTAATTTAAAAGCGCCGGTTTCCTCCTCATCATTGTATTATTATTGTCATTTCTGGTTGGCTCACCTCTTTGTTGCCACTGGCGGAACGCGTGGACCAAGAAGCATGTACACAAACACACGATGCAGGACAACACCATGAACGTGAGCAGGATCCCGACCCACAGGTCTGACAGGAATCGGTCGTACTCATCGTTGCTTGTCGTCTCTACACTAACACTCGACTCTTCGTTGACAGGTGCAAAGTTGAGGGACACTATCTCACTCATCACTGGTTCACTGACACTTTGTGTTAGGTCACTCTCGACACGTTGGTAGTCCGTATGACGAGCTGGCACTCGCAGTTAACAATGTCCATCGTCGCTTCACCCCACTGTCCTGTAAAACAGATGGTTAGTTGTGTTTGTGCAAGTTACGATAAAGAAAACCATATGTCTGAGAATAGATTTTTCAAAGAGACTCTGCTATAGAAAATTCTACTTTGAGAAAATTGGAGTACAGAGGCTTATGACCTAAACTAATGGTTATTTTACTGTTTCTGTTCTTTTATTTTTGCAATTATCAGTACCATTTGCATTTTAATGTTTTTCCTAAGGTAAAGGTTCATGATATCATCTAACTTCAACTTTGTTAGATGTATCAATTAATCAATATCAATAGTCAAACAGGAGATGGTATCTGCATCCACAATCAACAAAAGCAATGATCAGATTGAAAGGGGAACTATAACCAATCATTTACTCAATACCTTGACAATAATCATATAGTGGCTTATTTACCTTTACTTTTGTCTCTATCCAAAAATGGTTGTAAACTACAACTATGTGAATGATCACTGCCATTGTCAAAAATCATGTAAAAAAAGTCGCTTGATCACTAGTATTTACCACTTAGGCATGCAAATTGTTGTATATTAAAAAATATAATAAATTAAATAAATTGTTGTAGATCAAAAATATTTGCATGCCCCGGAAGTATTTTTGTGTTTGAGTAAATAGAAACCCTCTATGCGATGTCCAAGAGACCAACTTCCCTAACAATGTGATTTTCTCGACAATGGTAGGGTTATCTACGTAATCTTGACGCAACGGATGCAACCAGCGTCAAAACCTCGGTTGTAGTTACAACTATTCTTGGACTGAGACGAAAATAAAGGAAATTAGCATACATTTTCCTTGCCAATTCATGGGCAAGCCGCAACAAGAACAAGGGCAATTACATTTTATGTACATTTCTCTTTAAGACCGCAAACCCTTGGTTTTCTTAGGTAAGCAAGCCAAATGAACCTTTCCCACGTTTGTTCTGACCACGGAGTGGAAGGGGAGAGTGGTTAAGGAAAGAACAAATAATTGGTTGCAAACCAATAGTTAAAAACGTGATTTATTTTTAAAATTTGTACCATATTTTATTTTAATAGGGTTTTGGATATCATGCTTCAACACAGTCTTAGTAAGCAGTATCATGGTGGACCGGTGGGACATTCAAAAGCAATTACAAACGTTTTCCTTGTAGAGAATTGGGTAAAATGAGGTTAGTCCTACAATGAATTTAAAAGTTCGTTAAATCAATAAGTGCAATTATTGCATGGTAAATTTGCAGTAGACAAGAGCTGATAGTGTGAACAAATAATAAACATTCTCATAATACTCCTCTTGAAATAATATTATTGCTATGTTTTTACTGTGGTATTTGTTAAGTGCTGTATACTTATTTCAAGATTTTTCTAAATAATCCCTCCAGAATAAGTTTTGTATGGACCTTCTTATCCTAAATCTGCCATTGACTATTCATTCCATTAATGGAATGATCTAGTCTTGATATGATCTTAAAGATTTCATGAAGAATTTTGTACATAAGACAGTCATACAGTATTTGAAAATGACTTTTTTTATCACATAGGCTATAACATTTAAGTATGGATAGAAACATTTTATCACAGTAGTACAAGCAAATTTTTGTTAACTCTTGCTAGTTTTTCAAACTAATATCAAATGCAACAGTTTGGAGGATGGTACAGTTAATTCATGTACCGTATATGGAAAATCTAATCTTTTACAATTTTCTTTTATCGATATTTGTGTATTCAACTAGAAAAACTTAACTAGATTTCATGAATACAAAGTCACTGAAGTTTGTCAAATAAACATTTTTGTGTAGTGTTTGAAGAAGTTACATCCCTTCATTTCCCATAAAAACTAAATTTTTCAGAGTATGCCACAGTGACGTATACAGCTAAACTGTAGTAAATTTATGGTAGGAACCAGAAAGGCTTACTTCTCCAAAGGCAGATTAGGAAGAAAGTAGATGAATAGATGCATATGATTGAACTATTGTTCTTTGCCCTAATCCTAAATATCATATACTAACCCCCATCATATACATAAAATCAAATTAAATCAAATCATTCTTTATTTTGTAATATCATTAAGAATAATACAATAGCGTCAATAAAAACACAATAATATAACTTGTAACTATAGTAGGCTACAAGAGTTTTTTTTTCTTTTTGCTTAACAATATCATGAAAAATTTATTGCAAGTTAATGGTTCAGATCGGATTCAAGGAATTCCTTCAAGGAGTAGGCAGGTCTGTCTATCAGCCACTTGTGAAGTTGTGTTTTCAGCGGTTTTCCCTTCAGTGACTTCAGTGATGGTGGTAGGCTATTGTGGACTTTGCGGCCAGTGTAGGATGGTTTTCTGGCGTACTGCGTGGTATGATGTACTCGCAGAATGAAGTCGTTTCCTCGCCTGGTGTTGTAAGCGTGAAAATTTGCACTTTTTGGCAGATCAGACTCACTCACCAGAAGGACTACTGCTTTGATGTAAAGATTTACAACAGTTGGAATACCAAGCGATCTGAAAGCTTCCCTGCAGCTGCCTGAGGGTTGAAGGTTGGCAAGTATATGTATGGCTTTTTTCTGCAGCTTCAATACTCTGTTAAGGTTGCTTTCAGTAGTCCCGCCCCAGACAACAAGACCATATTGTATATGCGACTCCATTAAAGCATGGTACGCTGTTTTTGCTGATAATAAGTCACCATTTCATCTAATTCTTCTCACCACGTATACACCAGTGCTGAGTTTCCTACAAAGATCATCGATTTGATTGTTCCAGGTAAGGCCAGTATACTGGCCTAGATATATCTAGTGTAATTACTAATAATTTGAAATTTTGTACAGTTTTCACATCATATAGGTACTTGACGTTTGCTCCCATGGACTCTTTCATAACAAGTTTTATTGCCATCATCTAATATTTATCATTAAGTAGGTGAACTACTTAGTTGGCCCAGTCAAAACTAATATGCACTCTAGCGCAATTTGCTAAACATTTTTGCCTTTCCTGTAGCAGCAAACCTAGGTAGGTACTCGATAAACCTAGCCACTTATTTAATAGGGCATCAATTTGACATTTTAAGCAAATATTTTATTAAAAACCTGATCAAACAAAAGGAAATTCGATAAACTTACAAGTTGGCAATGGCAAAGGTATTTTAAATTTTCAACTGACAGCCGATTAAAGTTTTTATGTTTTTAAATTGGTAAATCTATATGAACCAGAAACAATATACCGAAAAGAGTTTTGATAACACTTAGAACTAAAATATAAATATCCAAGAGCGCCTCAGAAAAATAAGATGGATTATCATCACTGGATGAAATTATTCTCACATAGTATTGAATTCTGTGTATAGTCAATGTAGTAGTCCCATACAATCACATCATAAATTATCCAATATAACTAGATATCATAGGACCTTTCCTAAAAATTATGTAAAATATTTTTTTGATGAAAACAAAAGTGTTGAACATTCTACAAGGATGTACCGTAATTAAGTAAGCAAACTCTACTGACGTATTACAATATATACATACAAATATTTAAATCATAACCCTACTAAATAAGAAATGTTACCGACAAATCACTGCGTGGTGTACACTTCATCTCTTCATCTCAACTAGGAAGGAACCCGAACATGGAAGGAAGACTGGCACTGGCACCGTAGTCCGTAAAGAACGGTACTTGAACGGAATTTCCGGAAAGCACTAATCGCCCAACGCGGGAACAAGGCTTGTGAGTAACGCAGGCGCAACAGGTGAATCAGCTGATAGGCTTCTTTGCCGCCTTTGTCTGGCGACAGACTCGGTGTTAATTTCGTCATCTACTACGTAAACACTGGGGATGTGTGTAAAATCGTTGCATTTGAATGGTACAGGTAGACGTTTCCTCTCATCCAAGTGTAAAATCTTAAGTCTGTTTTATGCGTTGATGTGACGTAAGAGTGCGCTAATGTCGATTGTTTAATACTCTCTAAAATATAGTTTGCTAATTAATTATTACATAGACCTCCTTAACGTTAGTGAAAAATTATTCATACGTTCGTATTTTGTTGCGGTGCAAACATATTGTTGTAGCGAGCAAAAGCTCGCATAGATACGGAATTTAAAGCATTTTACCGTGAGCAAATCAAACCGCTGATTTGAAGTGATTGGGCTAAATATAGAATAACACATTTTCACGGAAAACCATACATAAATTGATACGAGAGTTAAGTTTCCAAGTCGTATTCCTCTATGGGTTTGTAGTGTTCTATCCTGTACGATAGAAGCAATTATAGACAAACACGTTACGTGAGTATCTCTGCTAGAAAGGCCATTTGTAAGATAATGTATTAGTGAGGTTAGACAGCATGAGTTTCCTGTTCCTAACACCCATTAGCCGGAGAGTGATAATAACGCCGCAATAATCACCTAGGGAAAAGCAAGTGCACGAGCTGTGGCACCTTCTTAATACAAGTCAAGCACCAGTAAAAAAATAACCTATCAACAAAGCTATATACTCGTATTTTTTTTTGTTAACTTGAAATTTCCTATCCCGGATAACATTTGCGGTTCATTGAATTAGTGGTTTTGTGATATGCTGAAAACAAATTTTAACAACTCTGAATGTAAAATTTCCCAATAGGGAAATTCCGAGTACTCCAAAGCACGAAGATTTCCTTTAAACTGAAAACTGTTAAATATTAGTTGTTACATCTGCCAACAAAGTAGGTCCTCAAGACTCTAGGTATCGGACATCTATATTCATCGTGCCGATCACAGACACACCACTTCTTCTTTATAATAGTATAGATAGATGGATTAGATATAAATAGATAAACGATGTAGGACCAAAAGCTAGAGTCCATAACATTATCGAGTCCATAGCTAATCTGAAACTACTACAGTATATCTTATGGGCTGGGGGTTTTTTTTATGATAAATGCATTATTTTTTAAGTCAATACAGAGAAATGTTTTGGAATGACATCTTTGCCCAAAAACTTGCGTTCTAAGTCGTAGTTTAGTGATCAAATCAAATTATGGTAGCTCGGCTCAA